ACAATGATATGTCATCTATGGATGTATAATATAATATATAGTATTAAAACATAATATCTCTATATGTATCTGTGTTAACGTTTAAATTTTCTCTTGCTGTTATTATTATTACTGATATACTACTTTATTTATTTATTTTTTTTTTTGGTTAGGTGGAAGAGCGCGGATTGACAACTAATGGTTGTCAATCAAGCGAACCTTGCCGTTTGCTCACTGCATTAGATTTATGTACTTTTTCTTTTTCTGTACTTACATGAGCAATAAAAGCAATTTATTATTATTATTATTATATAAAAATCGCTTAGATTTTTTTCTTCCATTGGATGAGAATTGACCATTTTAAAAATAGTTCAAACAGTATCTAGCACTAAAACCGAAAGCTAAATAAGAATATTTTAACTGTATAATGATGTTTGTGTTCGTACTGATATTTTTGTCACTGTCAACAAAAAATAACAACAAGTTTTTATCGCTGTTGCTGTGGATGCGGAGGGAATTGCAATGATTTGTCACATGGTTTGTGTTCAAGTAATTATTAAATGTACCACCATTTTGTAGTAGCTAAAGGTATTGACTTTATATTCTGGGGCTATAAAGTACTCGTCAGGAGCTTCAAAAAGATGTGCCACAAGGTCCCCGTTTTCATATAATTTTTTTTCCAAGGTGGTGCCAAGCGGCCATCTTGACATTTTCATATGTCAATTTCACTCTAAAATATAGTATTCACGCATCAATTTCATTACCTCAAGTTTTAATTTTTTGATTTGATCCGTTCAAAAAATCAAAGAAGAAAAGCACTGTATGGAATCGGTCTCTATGAACCGATGTTTGTTTTCTCAAGCTCACTGAAAAATTGTCTTTTAGTTTTGTACCACCGTCAAAAAACATTTCTCGTTGACGTATGAGTCTTCTACATCTATGCCAGTCAGTAATCACCTATAAATCATTAACTTAAATCGTACTGTGGCTGCAAGTTATCCTGTCTCAACTTTTTTTTTAGATTTAAGTGCTTTATAATACAAACATATTCGGCAAATTAAAATAGCAACATGCAGAAAGTAACATAAGTTTGGAACGCATCGAATATCCGACCAATGACTCAACTAATTTTAAAAAAAAATTGATAAGGGGGTACTGGAAAATCATACACAATCCACAAAAAATTAATTTTTGGGCCGGTATCATAGGTCAAAAGGTGATCGGTCCGTTTTTCATGGAAGAAAATTTAAATGCTGGAAGATAATTGCATCTTTTGAGGAATCATCCTTGTAAGTAACTTTAATTGCCACAAATAATAAAAAATATCAGTATTGTTTTCCTTCAGTAAATAATAGTGTCCAACGATAGAAGACGGATAGGTAGAAGAGGTACGACTGAATGGCCTCCTCGGTCTCCTGACCTCATACCCCTTGATTATTTTTCGTGGGAGCACTTAAGAAATGTAGTATAGAAAACCAACCCATTTGATTTGGAGGAACTAAAACAACGAATCGAAAATTAATGCACAAGAATCGAGGAAAGCGGATGTCTTCAAAATATTCTAAATGCATTTCCGCAATATCTAACTTATTTCTAAGAAGTATATGGACGGCAACTTAAACATTTAATGTGATTTTTATCTTGTTTTGAAGTTTAACTTAACTACTAGGTTCTATCGTTTTCTTTGTTATTAATTTTTCTCTTATTTCCTTGGAGTATCAATAACACTATTTTAATAATAAATAATAAAATAAATCATATTTTTATTAACTCTACTAACAAAATTCTATGGACTTTTCAATATCAGAAATGACAGGAAATTATTTTCCACACCGGTCATTGCTTAGGTGAAAAAATACATTTCATTGTTATTTTAAAAACTATGAGGGACGAGCCCCTTCCCACTTCAGTTGGCCCACTTCAAGATTTGTACCAAAATATGCCTTTATAAACTAAACATGACGAAACTATTTACTTCTAAAACAATTTATTTTCTCAAAAACATTTTAGATACACTCTAGTCGTAAAAAATACATATTTGAAATCACTTAGACCTATAACCAATAGCACATCTGAACAAATAAACAATGTGCGAATAAATGCGCAAAGTTAACAATCCAACAATTGAAAGATTACCATTGGGTAACATCACCTTTATTTTTTATTACGGCTGAAATTCTTTGGGGTATAGTGTTAACCAAGTTTTGGCAAAAATTTGGTGTAAAACAATCCCATATTTCTTGAAGCTTTTGTCTCAGTTCGGTGATTGTACGAGCAGGATGTTGTCGTAGAACCTTTTTCATCTCGTGCCACAAAGTTTCAATATGTGACAGATCTGGACTGCTAGAAACCCATTTCAAAAGTGGTACATTATTTTCTTCCCTCCATTTTAAACACAAAATCAGTTTTCCTACTCCTTTTGATGACATACTGCCCCAGACCATAATGGATGCTGGAAATTTCACTTTTCTCTTCAGACAGTCAACATGGAATGCTTCATTTTTTTGCGAATAACTCTACTGCGACTGTCACCAACACAAACTTGGAATCGGACCTCATCACACCGTTGTTGAGTCTCCATTGTCTACGTTCTTTAGCCCATCTAAGCCGATTTTTCTTTTGTAGAGGAGTTAATAGTGGCTTTTCTTTGGCCAGAAACAAGTTGTGCAACTTTAGGGTTTTTACTTCACTTTTTTTTATAAGAAAACTTACCTTGAAAGTGCTAAATCCCGGTTTGTGGGCCTCTCTATGAGTTGTGGACCTCGAAATTCTCCTTCCAACAGCGTCACTCCACATAGCACTTAATTGTAAATAATTGGCACGCCCGTTTTTCACGATTATTCTTCTTAATGCTCTTCGGTCGGCATTTGTGATATTACTTTTTTTCACATATCGTGGTTTAATATTAACTGAACCAGTTACGTTATATCTTCTAACAATATTTCTCACACTGTACCGCGATAAGTCTAACAAAGTTGCAACTTCTGAGTTTGATTTCCCAGAATTAAAAAATTTAATTATCTGTAACCGAATTTTCTCACTAATAACCTTTCCTCTACCCATTTTGAAAACCTTAACTACCCAAAACTATTTTAAACGTATTCTTACAGCTGTGATTAATAAAAACAATTGTCATGGCTTTTATTTTTCACAGCCACGTATGCGTTATAGACTTATTTTGCATTGAAATGAAAATAGGTTGATCTGCTGTAATTGCAACATGTGTTATTTTTATGCTGCCAATTTGATTAGGGAGTGATAAAGTTGGTGTTTTCTACTATATAACGGGTGATTTTTTAAGAGGTATAGGATTTGATTTAAAAAAAAAACACAAAAAATTTGAAAAAACGATTAAATCTTTATTTGAGTCGATAGAACGGTCGATATAATTTAATGTTAAAAGATTATTTCATGTAAATGTTGGCCGCGGCTCCGCTTTAGATGGCCCATGCGCAAGGTCCAATTTTGGAACACTCTCTCCAACATATCGGCCGGTATCTCACGAATAAATGCTTCAATATTGGCTTCCAGTGCGTCAATCGTTGCTGGTTTATCCCTGTAGACATTAGCCTTAACATGGCCCCACAAGAAATAGTCCAACGGCGTTAAATCACACGATCTAGGCGGCCAATTGACGGGCCCCAAACGTGAGATAAACTCGCCTCGCAATAGGGCCATTGTTTCGTGTGCGGTGTGGCATGTGGCACCGTTTTGTTGAATCCACATGTCAGCCAAGTCCAGCTCTTCCATTTTGGGCAAAAAAAGTTTGTTATCATCGCACGGTAGCACTCGCCATTCACAGTTACGTTCCGGCCATTGTCGTCTTTGAAGAAGTACGGCCCGATGATGCCACCGGCCCATAATCCACACCAAACAGTGATTTTTTCGGGATGCATCGGTAGCTCTTGCAATGCTTGTGGCTGGCCTTCACTCCAGATGCGGCAATTTTGCTTGTTAACGTACCCATTCAACCAGAAATGAGCTTCGTCGCTGAATACAATTTTTCGATAAAAATGTGGATCTTCCTCCAACTTTGCCAGCGCCCATTCACCAAATTGGAAACGTTGTGGGAGGTCGTGTGGCTTCAATTCTTGCACCAGCTATATCTTATAAGGTTTTACACCCAAATCCTGTCGCAAAATTTTCCACGTAGTGGAGTAACAGAGGCCCAATTGCTGCGAACGGCGGCGAATCGACATTTCACGGTTATCACTAACACTGGCGGATACAGCCGCAATATTTTCTTCAGTCCTCACTCTACGTCTGCGTGTTGGTGCTTTAATGTCCAATAATGTAAACTGGGTTCGAAATTTAGTCACAAGCTTCCGAATAGCTCCTTCAGTAGGCCGACCAAATTGCCCATAAATTGGAAGCAGTGCTCGATGCACTCTCTTAACCCAGCATGAATTTTGATAGTTAAATTCAATAATTTGCAAGCGTTGTTCGTTCGTAAGTCGATTCATGGTTAAATTATAGACCAAACTGAACAAGTTTGACAATGACACAAGTCACGATTCACGCGTCATCTGTCAAAAACAGTGTTGCCAAAAAGATACTAGCAAAAAAATCTCCCATTATTATCAAAATATTCATTGTTAATTGTTTAAACCTATAACACCCTGCCACATTTTTATTATTTGTGTTTGATAAGAATAGTTGGGCCAACTGAAGTGGGAAGGGGCTCATATATTTGTATTCAAAATTTCTCGAAGAATACAAATATCTAATTAAATGTATAGCATTCCATAACAAAAACAAAAGTTGCTGTCAGTTTCTGAAAAGCTGTATATTTGGCAACATCGGTGGATATTGTCAACGCATCCGCCGTGGTTTCGAAATTAAATTTACCAATTTAAAAAAAAAATAGAAGAGTCATTCGTCAGATATGTGATGCGTTCCAAACTTTTGTTACAGTCTGTATATGATTTTTAACATGCTCTCACAGTAGGAAAAGCCGAACGTGAACGTTTACGTATGCGGTATGTGTGCTTGCCAAAGCTTTTTATTCCTCATTAACCTACCGTTAGGTGATAGGTGTCCTCCAGCAGCAACCTCATCTCGTTCGTCAACGTACACCCACAACCCATCCAAGTACGGTGCATCGTACACCGCCTGGCTGGGGTCATCCTCATCCTCGGGGGCTGCTGGCAGTAAGCTGGGACTGGAGCCTGAAGAGGCACCTGAGCGAAGTTGAGGGGTGGATTTGGGCCGTTGAGGTTGGACCCCAGTTGAGTTGGGAGAGTGAGAACGACGGCTGGCACGCTCCTCTGACTATGGGGATATTGACAATTGTTAATTGGTCGTCTTTTTTTTAATTCATCTACAAATACACACAAGGGTCTATTTTTTCCTGGCATATCAACGAATTCGGACCAGGTAGAAGAGCAAGCATACGATTTCTTTCGATCGAAGATATCCTAGTCAGAAAGCATGTCGAAACTTTTTCAAGTCGTCAATGTAACAGTTGTATGACACTTCGGATTAGATTCATATTTTTCTACGAAAACATGTAAAAGTACATGGGTTTCCTTTAGATCTAGTGTTCCAGACAATTGCCGGAAGCAATTAACATTTTTGTTGATTACGAAAAACAATTAAGCTGATTCAAAGCAGATCTTTTTATCTGTAAGTATTAATATAGTATCATTCGTATTTCGTACCTCGGCGTTGAGCTTTTACCTGCACATTCCTGAGATAGTTTTGATTTCTTTTTTATCAGTTGTTCTTTTTTAATTACCCAATCTCAATCTAAGGTCTGTTAACAAAATTTCACCCCTAAAACTACATTGAAAAATGTAAAACTTTGGAAACGTTTCGCTTTCTCATTCGAGAATCGATCGAGATTCTATCAAAGAACCTCAGCACGCTCCAAAAAATTTTTCGAACACAACAGCAAAAAAATCCCAAATCACAAAAAAAATCACTACAGACAACCAAATGACTCGAGCGAGTTGAAACTTGTACTGAAGGCGGATCACATGTTCCCGTCTCCCCTACAAGCTCCACGCCTCCAGTGTTGTCAGATCGAACGGTACGTTGCGAGTCTCATCACTTAATTTACAGACCTCGTATTATACCAAATTAATTAGGTCACTTCTAATTTCTTTTATTGGATCAGCATAGTGACAATGATTTAGCAGCAGTAATTAGCATACAATGTTAAACTAGGTATTTGCTTTCAGTCCATGATCTCGGATCACATACCACAAAGCTCAAGCAAGATATACCAGGTATTCCGTTATTGCTGCTGTTTGTTTTTATACAATTTTTCGTGTTTTAACCCTCTAAAATTATAAAGTTAGCCGGAATTCATATGCTGTTAATAAGAAATATATACTTTCATTTCGTCACCTTATTTCATTTATTCCTGTTTTAACAATAATTAGAGGATTATCATTGCAACCTTGCCAACTGTACTGAGTGTACTCTCGTGCTTTACGAGATTACTGGCAACTGAATATTATTTTCGAAGAAAATATTTCACGCCGATATGTTGGATTGTGACTTGGTAGGTGCTGGTAGCCAAATCTAGCCAACAGTATGCACTAAATCTATGTTGGCGACATACATTCCTTGTTAACATGCATTGCTCCTTCTAATTTGTAATCAAATTCGTTGGGAGTTATAAAATATTGCCGACATATAACCAACGAATTCGAATGCTTGGGTAGAAGACGTAAACAAAGGATTTGTTTTTATCAACCATCTAAACTAGAGCGACACACAAACTCGAGTGGCTACCAGTTTTCTGCGGTGTTGCCACATCTTGTTCAAAATCAACAACTGCCTTCACGCAGTGGATTGATTGATGATGCACTGAGCAGTGCAAAAATAATCGTGAAATGTTATTCGTGGTGATAACTAAATAAGAGTATTAATTTGTCTCGCATATGTTGTATTTTCAAGTAGAACAACTCATGTGATTGTATAGTTATAAAGTGGTTGTAACACCTGCACCGAAAAGAAAGTCTTTGGTTCAGTACCCTAATATATTTCAGATTATAATGTTTCCACTAACTGATGCAGTGTCATCATAGCTTCAAAACCTATCAACTTTACGGACCTCACAAAAAATAAAACAACTAACTTTCAAAAAAAGAAAAAACATCACAGTGCTTTTCGAAAACGTCTTGAGCTATTTCGTACTCAGCATTTCAAAATACATCTGAAATAAGCACCGAAGACAATTAAGAAATATGAATTGTTATATCCCGGTGATATTTCCTGAAAAACTAATATTTGCGTACTAAACGTGGCAACGCTGTGGTGGCAAATTGAGAATAGCTGGGCTGACTTCTGGTGTTTTATGCTGCGGCTTTGTGCAATTGAGGGGAAGCTTTATTTTGCTCATGTTGTCATGTTTACGTGTGTTTCCGTGATATTTTCACAGAGTTTTGTGGATTTTGAAACATTTCAGTGCAATATATAGCATTTTGGACTATTCTCGAAGATGGTGAAGTGTTACATGTTATGTAAAAAGCAGTTTAAGCGCGATAAAAGCAGATGTCTACTCGGGGAAAAGTATACAATTTTCGTTCAAGGTCAAATTTTGTGTAAAAAAATAATCTGTTGATGTTGCTAACAAACAATCGTTTAAGATCATATGGGCTTAACTTCTTCTAACCTAGTCCGAATTCGTTGATATAAACCGATATCTGGTATGAAGCAGCATGATTAATTTTACATACATCTTATATCTGATTTCTCAAACATTTCTTTAGATTTCGCTTGAACTTTGAGTATTTTGGGCCCTCCCATTAAACCGGGACCCTGAGCACAAGTTCCTTGTGACCATAAGGTAAAGTCGAAATAGTGTCTCATTTCAAGTTCTTGGTTAATTTGAAAGTTATCTTTGTAGCTATTGTGTGAGGACAAAATATACAGAGTTACTTTATAATTACAATTTGTTCGTTATTGTACTTATCATATAACTTTACAAGGTCAACTGGAGGATAGAGCATAACCATCAAATTGATCCCTGAGCACAACCATCTAATACAGAGCGGTTGGTGCATATTTCATGTGAAATGGGTGCGATTTTGTATGGTAGATAGCTACGGTTTTCTATACCTATACATATATGTCTAGATAGACAACTCATAAATACTTGTAATTATTTTCAAATTATTTTGATACAGTTCTTATTATATCACCTTCTAGAAGCTGTGCTATATGCAGTAGCTGAAGCCTTTGTGTAATCACGCTCGTAAGGGCCATGTTCAGGTCAATTTGAAACTGATTTTGACCGACCATTTTAATAAAGAAAATATATTATTTTACTTCTAGATATACCAGTGGGAAAGTTCACATTTCAAATCTGTGCTGAACGGATGTTGAACCTTTTTCCTACGCAGCGCAGACTCGAGAGCGTTGTTTTCAGTGACGAGGCCTATTTTCACTTGGAAATTGCAGATATTTTGCACCAACGAACCCAAAAGAGAAACATCAACAACAGCTACATAGTCCAAAGGTGACTGTTTGGTGCGTCATATCCTCTAGCGATATTATAGGGATATATTTCTTTGAAGATGAAAACGGTCATACATTGACAGTCAATTCAGAGCGATACATGGTCATTATTGATACTTTTTTTGCTTCTGTTGTGAGAACAGAACGTCGATTTAACAGAAACACATGGTTTCAACAGGATGGGACCACTGCTCATAATTCCAGAGAATCGATGAACACCGTGAAACACTTTTTCCTCAAAAAGTCAAATCGAAGTTTGGAGACATTCACTGGCCTACTAGGTCACCCGACCTCACGCCATGCGATTATTTTTGTTGGGTTATCTAAAGTCAAATGTGTATTCCAATAATCCACGAACACTGGAGAAGCTTATGTTAAGGACAACATTCGACAAGAAATAAACATCACTCCAGAACTCTGCAAGAGAGAGTTTCAGAATTTACGCGCGCGATTAGAAGAGTATGTCCGAATGGGTGGCAAACATTTGGACGGAGTGATATTTAAGAAATAAAGCCCGCCGAATTTACGAATATGTGGATAGTAATAAATATTTTCTTTTCATTAGGTTTGTATTTTTTTATTAAATCAGAAAGTGTACTTTCCCACTTTAGCTACTGATGTAATCCAACGTGAACCAAATTTTTGGAAGCATCAACGAGCATTAATCTAGCTCCGAACATCTTCTCCAAACTCACTAAATATTTATCTGGATACTTTGCGCTTTTGGAAAAATGAGCTTTTAATCATCCAGTGAGCGACACATGTATTTTATAAGTTTTATGATCCTTAAATATACCACCCATTACGCCTAACCTTTAAGTTGTGTTGCTTAGTCTACACCCTACCATATTTCTCGAGTATCCATCACGCTTTGACGTGAACATCCTGAGACATTTTCGTATTAGTCTGCAACGTTGGCAATAATGAATCGGGTGTAAATCTAGTAAAACTTGTTTGTAGCGTCTTGTTTTTATATGCAAATGAACTTTTCTAAATAAAAGAGCTGTTAGCAACTGCAAAATGAATCTGTAGCGTACAAAAAACAAAAACAAAATATGGTTCTGTCTACCAGGCATTGACGGATCCGTCAGAATTATGTGTCCTTTGCCGATACGGGGAATTTTAAAATATTACAAGATAATTAGCTGTCATTCTACCGTAATGGATACTCGTTAAAAAGACTATATGATAGTTCTCTGAATATTTCGTCAAGTAGATTGACTCAGTACTTATGACGCGTTGACAAACCGACAGAAGTGAGAAACACGGACTTCAGTGATATCTTATATCTTAATACTTTCATTGTTTAGTAGTCGTGAATTTTGGAAATTGATTCAGAGGCAAAAAAATAAAAACGCCGGAACATAGTGTTACAACGTTTCGGAGATTCCTGCTTATTATCAGACATTGGACAGGATGGAAATTGTAGGTTGGAAGCTGTATTTGGTAAATGGTTGTAAATTGTTTCAGATTTGGTATCAGTGAATGACCTTCTATTATTAAGAAGCTGCTGATCTCAGTCATACATTTTACCTCTACATCTGCCATGGAAACAAAAATATGATAGATTTGCTTTATAAGGTCAAAAATTCATCGTACCTATGTGAATCTACCTAATCACGATTCGATTTCGCTCTTTGAAACTACTTGACTCATCCCTCTTCTTCGGAACCTACAACAAAGGCGTAGGGAGTATAGAGTCAATCTATTTGAAGCTATTTTGTCCACTTGGTTTTTGGTCCAAATAAAAAAGCTCAAAAGATCAGTTGTCCAGCTTTGAAATGATCCTACCTGTATAAGTTTACTATAAGCATACATACACTGACATCTAAGCAGAAGCTGTGGCATAAGCGTGTCCATCAAGCACATATTGCAGCTGCATTGCTGGTAAAGTAAAAAGGACAGGGTGTAAATACCTTTGCTCGTACATCAGATTTATACCGGTGTTTCCTATTTTCGATAAGGGTGCGTTCCTCGCTGCGGATGCGTCTGTCCAGCTTCTTGAACAGCCTTCCTTGGGTTTTCATCCTGGGCGAGTCCTCAAACCCTGCTGGAGGCTGCACGATGTCCTGCTGTTGGGTTTCCGTGCTGCTGCTGCCTATGCTTTTATCTGCTTCATCGGTGTTCACTAAATCAGTCAGTCAGTGATACTTGTTCAACATTGTAAGTTGTATCAAGCAAGTTGACTTCAAATTTCCGAAGCGTGATAATGGCTTTAGTGAAAAATATTTTTGAAACTTCTCAAAAAATCAACATGACCTCAAATATCAACAAAACTAACTGTAAGATAATCAAAAGTTTTTTCAGCGAGATTCGTAATCTGTTATGTTGTCAATGCAGGGAAAGTGCAGTACTTAATAACAGTGGCCCACTGAGAAAACGTGCTCTGGAAAATTTGCATTACCCGTAATGGATTTTTTAATTACTCTGAGTAATCTGTTTATTTGAAAGTAATATTATTAAACTAATTTGCTTGACAATAGCAAATCATGTACCTCTTTAATTAGTTCAGGTGATTTAGTTTATGTGAAAAGTGTATATTTAAAAACATTTAACTTTTTAATAAAAACAGCTAAGCTGTTTATTTGAATCGCGAACTCCTCAGGGCAAGGCTCTTCGCACTTCTCATTTTCATTTTTGCTTTTCGCGAGAAGCTTCATATTCGAATGCCATATTTAGGTCAATGAATGGCATTTATAACAAATATGTGCTTTGTACTTAACTTAGACTTGATGAGCTTTTCTTTTATATTGTATAATGTACATATATAATGTATATATATATATAATATATATATTCGTATATATATAGATATAGAACATGCTCATGCGGAGAAAGGTATATAACAAAAAGTAGGAAAATAATGGGCAAAATCCGCAAAAAGGAGGAAAGTGGATTCGAGCAGAAAATAGGATAGGTAACCCGAGCGATACGTATTTCTGCTGGTTGGCTTCATCCGGTCCGAAACGAATGCACATATGAAACTACAAAAGTAGATACACATGCCTACACATCCGGATACGGGTGTTAACTGAGAAAACTTGTGGACTTCGTTTGTCGTTTTTTTCCCTCTCTATCTTCGTTTCCTCAGGTTTTTTTTATAAAAATAGCGTTGATTGATTTTGCAAGAAATTTGGAGATTTTAAAACTATCAACTATTGAAAACTTCCCCGAGGTTTCATCTTTTTTTCCACTGATAACCTCCACATTATCCAACACCTTCAATTAACGTTTAAGTAAAAAAAATTTTCAAAATGATATGCCATTTAATAATAAAATAATTCCTTCCTAATCGAACCTCATTAGTCCAGTTTTTTATTCGTCGACTATGTGTTCCCTTCACTGTTGTTTTAAAAACTATTTCAGCAACAATCTCGCCGACTTACTCCAGACGATGAAGACATAGATCCTCGAAAGCTTGAGAGTTTAAGTTAGAAGAGTGTACTTTTTGCAATACTTTGCCTTCTACCCAAAGAAATTAAAGGATATCTTCTCCTAACAGTTAAGGCAATTAACTATGAATTATATATATATATATATATATATATATAGAAGAGAAAATTATCATGCGGAGAAAGGTACGAGTATATGGGCATGTGTATCTACTTTTGTAGTTGCATATGTGCATTCATTTCGGGCCTGATGAAGCCAACCAGCAGAAATACGTATCGCTCGGGTTACCTATCCTATTTTCTGCTCGAATCCACTTTTTGCGGATTTTGCCCATTATTTTCCTATTTTTGTTATATACTCGTACCTTTCTCCGCATGATAATTTTCTCTTTGTAGATCCTTTGGGCTTGAAGTACCACAGCAAGTGGCTATAACCGGCCGCGTGGTTGTGGTTATTTGTCGCTTTGAAAATTCAAGGTCTTCTAGCCATTTTATACTACAATGTGTAGGTTGGCTCTTGTTGTGGACTTCGTGTGTCTTTTTTTTCCTCTCCATCTTCGTTTCCTCAGGTTACACCCGTATCCGGATGTGTGGGCATGTGTATCTACTTTTGTAGTTGCATATGTGCATTCATTTCGGGCCTGATGAAGCCAACCAGCAGAAATACGTATCGCTCGGGTTACCTATCCTATTTTCTGCTCGAATCCACTTTTTGCGGATTTTGCCCATTATTTTCCTATTTTTGTTATATACTTATATATATATATATATATATACCTGTATATACAGGGTGACTTTGAAGTTGAGTCATTAATTTTCAGATAATGATTGTAGAAGGAAGATAAACCAAAATATGTATGTAAAAATAAAAAAAAAAATAAAAAAAAATTTTACCTTGTTTTATAAAGTATCCTCCCGACAAGTATTTCAGTGCGGACCTGTATTTGATCGTGAGGTCTCGGAGCACCGGCATGCCGTCACCTGATTCACGAGCCCGTTGTACTACATTAACAAAGGCACGAGGGGTTGGTTGCACTCGATTGGGAAACCGATCCGCATAAACATGTGCCATTTTTTATTTCGTTTGAGCCACGCAAGAGAAACCACTATTCACTCACGCGTGACCGACTGACACTGACTGTATACAAATGAATAAAATAATTGTAAAAACATCGTTCAAAATTCTTTCGCTTTTTTGTTTCCGATGCGATGAACCGATAAGCCGGATTATATCCGTTGTCGCCAAACACGAGCACATAATATTATTATTGAGACAGGGCGGTACTCAAACTTCCAAAGGGCTATAACTTTGTTACTTTAATTTTACCAGAAACATGGTAAAGGAAAAAAACATTTCTTTTGATCAGATCTACTCACTGTTAAAATAAATGACTCAACTTCGAAGTCACCCTGTATAGAAAGTGGAGACTCCTGTTGGTATTGACTTTGTAGTATTTGAAAATATCATTGTTTGTTTAAAGTGCCGTCGAATTTATTTATATATCAAACAAATAAATATTCGATAAAACTTGATCCCATAAATATAATAGGTTCACAATGAATGAGAATAAAAAATATCGAATTTTGTTATGAATATAAAAGTTATATGAGCTTTTATTTTGATTTCAAAACATCAACTATCAATGTTAATTTCTACAAATTATTTCATTTTCAAAAATTAAAAAAAAAATATAATTAAAATGTTTTACTCGGCGCAGGTAAACCCATTTTGAGAGCTCATTAATTTTCAATAAATCGCTGTAATTAATCTAAGTAAACGGTTCGATAAATATAATTAAGCGATTGCGTTTTGGTTTAATTAAACTAGTTTCACAGATTCATGTAAGCTATTTTAGAAAGCACAGTACAATTAAACTAATTTGAATTTTTAATTGGTTAGTTAATTATTTTTCAGTGCATAAATAATAAAACCTAAGTTTGTTAAGAGCCGAAAGAAGGCAGTTTCCAGCTCAGCAGCAGGACTGTTACTTGAGGTTCCAAAATTATAGAATTAAAGCCATTCATCCACTTACCTATATCGACTTCTTTCCCGCAATGCAAACAATGGACTTGCTGGTCCATGGCGGCATGACTGCTTGGGTCACTATAGAATACGCTATCACTACCTGGACTGACAGACCTAAGGGATTCTGCACTCAATGCCTTCAGTTTTGTATCGGCATGATTGTGCGTCTTCTTTGCTATTGAGTTTCCTAACAAACATGCTTCGGAGGAAGGGGATCCCGATGGACTGTAACAAAAAATGTCGTCATAAAAACTCACGATACTTCCGCGTAACAGACACTGCCTGTGCCACCAAAAGCACTCGAACTCGCTCAGTTACACGCTGCCAGCCAAACAACTCAGTTCCCAAATGAGAGCTGAGCGTTTGAATTGCACCTGACCAGAGATGAGTACTTGTATTTTGGCAGCGTGTGGCTGAGCTGAGGAATTCATCTTGTACGTTGTCCAAACGACATTTTGAATATCATATAGGTCTTCAATGATCCTTATTTACAGTAAGTAATTTAGGTAGTTAAGTGTCATTAGAAGATTATAATTCTATATAAAAGGACCCCGCACAAAAAATGAGTGCCAGTCGATTTGTCTAAGAATTCAGCATGATATATGTCTCACTTTCCTAAACATAAGTTCTCAGGGGACCAAATCAATCCTATGATTAGTTTCTGAGAAATATGGGAATGTAGTTTGCCGATTTACAAAAATAGTGAATGTACCGATGCTAACATAATTCTCCTATGAAAGTATTTCATTCAAAAACTTTTTAAGAAAGTGTTGTGAGGTATGGGGACCAAATCAATCCTATGATTAGTTTCTGAGAAATATGGGAATGTAGTTTGCCGATTTACAAAAATGGTGAATGTACCGATTCTAACATAATTCTCCTATGAAAGTATTTCATTCAAAAACTTTTTAAGAAAGTGTTGTGAGGTGTGGGGACCAAATCAATCCTATGATTAGTTTCTGAGAAATATGGGAATGTAGTTTGCCGATTTACAAAAATGGTGAATGTACCGATGCTAACATAATTCTCCTATGAAAGTATTTCATTCAAAAAGTTTTTAAGAAAGTGTTGTGAGGTGTGAGGACCAAATCAATCCTATGATTAGTTTCTGAGAAATATGGGAATGTAGTTTGCCGATTTACAAAAATGGTGAATGTACCGATTCTAACATAATTCTCCTATGAAAGTATTTAATTCAAAAACTTTTTAAGAAAGTGTTCTGAGGTGTGGAATATATATAGATATCTTACCTGTAACGTTTATTGTTATGCTCACTCTCATTAGTCAAACCAGCGTTATAATGCTTATTGGACTTGGACCTTCTGGACAGACTTCCTGGTAAACTGGACGGCTTGTCATCATCGTTATGTTTGCTGGAAGATCGCTGATTCACCGGAGACCTCGGTAAAGATTTTCTCCTACTGTTTTCCTTGTTCTTCTTCGCTTTTCTTGGCGAATTTTGTTGGCCTATACGTTTTGCGTCGCAGCTTGACTCGTCGGACGTTGCCTGATATCAAATAAAGAAATCAAAAAAACCAAATATTTGTTGAATGGACGTCGAATGAACAAATGGACAAGAACAGCGACTGAAATAACGGATTTACAAGGTGCTCTGACAGTTGAGAGTTTCGTTTTCACAAACAGGTACATTTAATAACAATGCTAACGTATCGTAAAACAACAAAAAAGAGAAAAGTTCTAATGACATTTCGGGTACTGCTCGTCTTTCTACGTCTACGGTGTCCATCTCGACGTTCCTACAAACGGTCTTTGTATTAGATAAACAGACCTATGCGGCGCATGATGGAAACATCCAGGAAAACGATTTAAATACAGGCCCGAAGCGTCAATAGCGTGTTGAAGAGACTCGCCTTAAACTAACGCCAGACCATCAAATTAGTTATTGTATATTCAACGCCAAACAAAGTGGCGTGCACGTCATCACGATAAAAATTCCCCGACCTAATGCCTAGGTTTCTATCACAAACAATTGCTCTATTGCAGTTTCATATTAATGTGATATATAAATTGTAAAATGGTCATTACTCTCTTATTATGGTTAATAGTCATATAAACATTGTTATTAAAATATCACATAAGTTGCTTTCTGATAAATTTAGACGCATTATGCGAAATAAAATGTTTTGCAAACGCTCCAATCACTTATCGACATGTAAACGCACTAAACCGATTTCGCAGCGTTGACACATTGTCACCTTGAAACTTATTTAAACTGGGAACTGTCATTTGTATTAATTTTGACACTGAATCAATTTGTGGCATTTCAAATCTTTATAAATCCTTTGGCCCCGCATACTGTAAATCAACAACTGTTTGTTTCAAAACAAAATTATTCATTTTACGAGTAGATAAAGGCAATTTTGGTATATAAAGATGCCCAAACAGTTAAATAGTCGGTGTAAGGAACTCGTGGCCTCGTTAATGCACTACTTTGAGCAAGAAAGGGACAACAACGGGCCTTTGTTGCCCTTAAATGCTGTTCAAGAGGTAGGTTACTAATAATTATATGTAATGTATATTAATAATAGTGAAATTTTATTTCTTTTTTGTAGCGTGTTGCTGCTGCTTTAAAAATTAGTTTAAGGACAGTTAGTCGTATTTCCAAGGGTGTGAAAAGTGATGCAAATTTAGAATCGCCCAAGAAAAAGCGGAGTTATATTAAACGTGTAACCAACACAGCGACATTGGATACAAGTGCCATTCGAGAAGTGATCTATAATATGTATCACAAAAGTAAGATCTTATTATAATAACTTATCAGAAATTTGCATTAATTTGTTAACTAAATTATAATGTCATATTACACATGGTTTCAGAAGAACAAGTTACGATACAAACTTTATGGTCTCGATTAAGAGATAGGGCATTATTTGATGGTAGTGCCACGTCTTTAAGGCGGTTGCTTAGAGATCTTGGATTTAAGTGGCTTAAGGACAATCCGCGACGAGGGCTCATGGAACTACCAAGTATAGCTTTGAAAAGGGTGGAATTTCTAAGGCAATACAATCAAGCCAAGGTTGAGGCCTTATACCAGTTTGTCTTCCTCGATGAAACTTGGATATTTCATAATGGGACCATAGGTCGCTCTTGGCAAAATGGAAACCAAAAAAGCGTGAAAGCTATTAAAACAGATGGTAAAAGGTATGTACTTTTACAAAATTTGCACTATAAAATTTAAAACTAATATATTTTAGATACATTATATTACATGCTGGAAATGAAAATGGGTTTATTGAGGGTAGTGAAGCGATATTTTCTTCGAAAACAAAATTGAGCGATTACGATTTAGAGATGAACCAGGACAATTTTTTGAAATGGTTTCAACATCAGTTATTAGAAAAATTGGAGAGTCCATCTATGATTATACTGGATAACGTCCCTTATCACAGCATGATATTGAACAAAGTGCCCAACAATGCATGGACAAAAAAAAATATCCAAGACTGGTTGACAAATCAAAACATACCATTTTTAAACACAATGTTTAAAACAGAGCTATTGAGTATTGTTGCTCGGTACATAATGCTTCTTAATTATATATATTTTGGTCGACAGTTTATATTTCTTTTGTTTATTCCTATTCTTAAAATAACTGCTTTTTTAGAAATAAACCACCTAGAATATACGTGATTGATCAATTGGCGGAACAACATGGGCACAAAGTTCTTCGTCTGCCTCCTTACCATTGTATATTTAACCCTATTGAGTTAATTAGGGGCATAGCAAAAGGTTACTATAACAGACATATTGGTAGAGATGGTAACAGTGAAAAAGACTGTTTGGATATGTGGAACGAGGCTCTACAAACGGTTACCCCAGACATGTGGAAAAATAGTGTTCGACATACTGAGCAAGAAATTTTTAAATGGTATGAAAGAGAACGAATTTTTGATCGACCAGACATCGAACCTTTAATAATCAACTTTGAGAGTGATGAAGATTCAGATTCAGACAGCGCTGAAGAAAGAAACTCCGACTAACTTTATTGTACAGAAAAAGCTTACACCAGTAGCTTACCTAATTTTAGAATCCATTTTTCTGTATGAATTCTGTAAAATAAATACCATGCATAAAATTTGGAGGACCCCATTTAGATTTTTATTCAGTACCTTTAAGCTATCAATTAAATATGGTAGTTTCATAGTGTCATCTGATCAATAATTGTCATACTTAATGATTATGCAAGTACAGATCTATAATTTTATTATACTATTATTTTTGTTCTCATTTGAGGTTAATATTGCTTATAAACCTAGATATGTAAATAATAAATTTTATTATTTTACAAAAAGTTTGGCAACAATGTAAATTTTTCAACACACCCACCTTGATGACGTGCACGCCACTTTGTTTGGCGTTGACTATAATGTGCCATTTTCGGTTATCTACTGATCTACGTCCTATCTTTTTACCTTATCCTTTGCTGGAGACAGTGCTAGATTTGATATCGCAGATTTTCCTTGAATACTACTAACTCAGATATTTTAATAATACCATGTGTTCCTTGGAAATTTAACTCGTTTTTAAAAGGACTATATGTTTTGAAAGGAACCCCTTGTATTAGCCTACCTTGTTCTCTTTCTCATCCAAAAGAGCAGCCGACCCATAGAAGCTTTTCTTGTTATGCGGCGCCTTTTTGTGGTTCTGCATCGGACTTCGCATCCTCGCCTTGACGCGCTTCGGTTTCGCCTCGCCAGACGTCGTCACGGTCGTTTTAGCTTCGGTGCTAGGTGACAATCGCGACTCTCTTTTGTTCGTTTTCGTGTGCTTCGAAGTGGGGTTGGCCGGGAAGTTATAGGTTTCCAAGTAAGGCTTTGGATTATTAGGCAGGTCCAGGGTGAAGTCCTTCTTGTTGTGCGTGGTTGTCACGGTGGTGCTGGCAGGTTGACGATGGTTCTCGTATTTTATGGACTTCCATGTCAAGCTGATGACAAACGAAATTTGTTATTACTTTTTCTCAATTCATATTTTCTTTTGAATATACAGGGTGAGGAAATGGATATAGTGAAGTGGTGAGTACTATGGACCAAGGTCTTTTCATATGTGAAAATAAGTAAATTCATTTTTTGCGAATATACAGGGTGATTTATCTAAGCACGTCGAAACTTTAATGTCGCATATCTAGGGCAAAGTTGAACCGATTTTGATGAAATTTTGCACAATAACAAAGTTACCCAGGACTCTCGTAAGACTAGTCGGCGGTTAAAAAATCTAGTGTCAAAATCAACTCATTTAAAACTCACACACCTCAGCTTTTATCTTATTTATATTTGTGCAAGTTTGGATTCAATTTTTATTAGATTTTTTTGGTATAAGGTTTAGGTTTGATTCAGATAAAATCACTAGATTTTGAGTTATTAAACTTTTAATAGAACAGCACACCAAAATTAAGGAAAACAATCACATCATCCATGGAAACAAAAGACAACAAAATATCTCCACCATGTTGAATACACAGCCGTAGTCTTTGGATAAACGACCTTTACACATCCCTCAGCATGTGTTCCCTTATGTTCAGAAAAGCATCCTTAATCCTTTCCTTCATATTTTCCGGGGTGGATGGTTGATATCTATAGACCTCTTTCTTAACGTAGCCCCATAGAAAGAAGTCCATCGGTGTCATATCTGGTGATCTAGGAGGCCAAGATATAGGCCCATCACGACCGATCCAACGATTGTTACTTACGATTATGATAAAGCGCAGGTGCGCCGTCATGTTGAAAGTACATATGCATCCGAGTTTGCAGGTTGACATCCTCCAAAAGCAAAGGCAAATGCTCGATCAACAAATTCAAGTATTCTATACCTGTTAATCTGTTGTCGAAAAAGAAAGGCCCTATAACTTGTCTGCCAATAACTCCTCCTCAAACATTCTAGCTCCATTTATTTTGGAAATCAATTTGCCTAACCCAGTAATGGTTTTCCGTTGCATAATAGTGCATGTTATGCCTGTTGATAACACCTATGCTGTTAAAAGTTGCCTCATCGCTAGAAAGACCCTTATCCAGGAAAGTAGTGTCTTCACTCACTTTATTTAGCATTATTCTACTAAACTCCATTCGAGCTGCGAAATCCTGAGGACGAAGGCCTTGATGCATAGGTGATATGGATGGTACCTATGCTTGTGAATAATCCTTTGGACAGAAGTTCTGCATATATCAGTTTCTGCTCCAATTTGCCGTGCACTTAAATGGGGATTTTCCTGCAACTTTAATAGAACCTCCAACTGATTCGCCTCATTGGTGGCACTTGGATTATTTATACATTTTTTACTATATTTCACTGCTCCACTTGATTCAAAACGTAGTGTGGAAAATAATTCTGGCCTAGGATGTCGCACATTAGAGTACCGTTGCTTATAAGTGCAGGATGCTAGGAAACTATTTCCTTGAGCTTCTTCGCCATTTCTTCTTTAGAAAAATTAATTTTAATGCTCACAAAGCTAATTTTGACAGTATGTAGCTAATCAACAATTTATTTGTTTCCAAGGATGATGCGATATTTTCGAGAAATAAGCCGTTCCATAAAATACGAGCTAATAACCGAAAAAATAGCAGTAAAAACCCTAATGTCCAGTATCAAAAAAAGCTTATAAAAATTGAATCCAAACTTGCACAAATATACAGGGTGATGCATTAGAAATTTTTGAGAAAAACTACAATTTGCGTTTTTGACCACCCTGTACGGGCAGAATTGAAAATTCGAAAAAGTAATAAATAAGATAAAAGTTGAGGTGTTTGAGTTTTTTTGATACAAAATTCAGCACTCCAAATTTCAAAATGGCGGTTTGAGGGATTGTCGAACTGGGAGGTTTTTCTAGACAAAACACCTTATATCTCAGTAGCTAATTACCAAAATTTTATAGTATGTTATATCAATTTTCTTCTTTTGAATTGGTATTTCCAAAAATGCAATAAAATTTGAGGCATTCAGTTTGAAAAATCACAACTTTGATATGTATGTCGAAATTGGGACACCCTGTATGATAGCCAATATTTTATAAATGTGCCCTCGAATGTCGTGTATAACATCCCATAAATAGATTTTCCCAAAATGTATTTTTTTATGAGTAATATTCCCTCCACACATGGATGGGCCACCCTATATATATATATACTCGTATATACAGGGTGTCCGCAAAGTTGGGGTTTTCCTTTTCAGAAACAACTACCCTTGAAATAACAAAGGTAATGTGTAGTGAAACGAGGCCGACCAAGTAAAAAAATAAAGGAAAAAGTACTCACTCTCCAGTTGACGAGAAGGGCTAAGTACGTCTCTGCCCGAAATCATACCGCTCCAACAGAAAATGAAATCAGCTGATGCACTACCGAGCAGACGCAGGCGGTGGTGCAGACCACGATAAGAGGTAACAAATATGACGGCGTTGCCGCGTTTTCAGTTTTTAGGTAAACGTACTTTATAGGTATTGTTCGAAGTTATCGCCGTTTGATTCAAAAACACAGGTGCGTGCACGACGTAGCCAAGCATCGGTGCAGGTTTTGAGAATGGAGTCCCTCCCCCGAATGAAAGCACCAGCTTTTTCAATTCTGAGACGAAGTTCGTCAACCGTATGGACTTCAGTTTTGTACAGTAAGCGTTTCATTTCTCCCCAAAGAAAAAAATCACATGGTGTTAAGTCTGGAGATCGCGAAGGCCACGCTACGGGTCCATTACGTCCGATCCACCTATTCGGAAATAATTCATTCAAAAACTCACGCACTTCGCGTCTAAAATGGGGCGGTGCACCATCGTGCAGAAGCCACATTGATTGTCTTACACTTAATGACACATCTTCTAACAAGGAAGGCAAAATGTTGCGTAAAAAGTCTAGGTATTGCATCCCGTCCAATCCATTTGGGAGAATAAATGGTCCAATGAGCATACCGTTCACCATGCCAGCCCAAACATTCACCGAAAATGTTTGTTGAAAATGTGCCCGACGGTCAGCGTGCGGATTTTCTACTAACCAAACATGAGTGTTGCGAAAGTTATTCACCCCATTACGCGTGAACGTAGATTCGTGTGTCACCAATATGCACTTCAAAAAGTCTGGATTATTGTCATGTTGATGCAACAACCACTCACAAAACCGCACTCTTGCTGGAAAATCGTCAGGTTGAAGGACTTGTACACGTTGGACGTGAAACGGATACAGCCCCTCTTTACGCAGCGTTTGCCACACTTTAGTTTTTGATACTTGCACTTCTCTAGCCACGTCTCTAGTGCTTGTTGAGGGATTCTCGTCTACGCGATTACCTCTACACGCGTGACCGTAACCGTCGGTTGAAGGTTGCATACTGACCTGACAAACTGACCCCGACCCAGTTCTGTCGTCGGGTTGAGCCAGTGACCTAGTACCACTCGGTGATGTCGCGGGTCGCGGCTACAGGACGGTATTCAGATATTTTTGATGTTGCAGAGTCCTTTATCTCGGTTCCCTTAAGACATTGGTGTATATGGTACTAAGAAAAATTGCTTATGTTTTCAAGATCTACACGTCGTGTAAAGGAAAACCTCAACTTTGCGGACACCCTGTATATAATAGACCTTAATTTAGGGGTTACCTCGTATTTTAGCTCCATTTTGAAGTACTAGTCGTATAGTTTCCACGAGTACTAAAATATTCTTGAGACTGTCCCTTTATGAAACGTCTATTGCTCCTAATTTTGGTCCGTCTATAATTTGTGGTACCTAAGGACTTTAAAATCGTACAACGCATCCTGTATACTTACTCATCATCGATAGGCGATTCGTAATATCCAGAAGACGAATAGTGTACGCTTCGCTCGTCCTCCGAAGGTGCACGAGACTTTTTAGTGGGACTTCCAGCTGCGGAGTGTGGTTTGGAGGAAGACCTATCCAGTAGGTCTGGAGTGGAAGCTCCATCAACACTATGGAAAGTGTCTTTGATTACATCATCCCAGGTATTCGTGTTTTGGGGTTCAAACATGTCATTCGGTCTGATGAATAAAAATATACGATTTTGAGATCAATATATCCAATTTTTGCCATACAAAACTCGTCCAGATTATCTGTACCTTATTTAGATTTGTTTCAGAATATTCTTAGTTAGGAGGATCTGGTTGGATTGAGTTAGATTCTAGAAGTGTTTATTATGCAAGGTGTAACAAACTCATTTGTCTGAATAAATATCATAGATAGTTGGATGAGGGTAACCCTGACTAAGATGCAAAGTACACATTTTCGGGAAAAGAGTCAATCGCAAAACGAAGAAAGGCCAAATTGTACAAAACCTTCAAATTTGTGAAGTTAGCGAGTTTCCCTTCATACGTTGTTGCCAGACATGCCCAAATCTTCAGTTGCTGCCGTGATATTCATCCCGACCACTGCATCTCCACGGCTAGGCGACCTGTGCGTTAAATTTGTGTTGATAGCAGGCTATATAAGAGCTTTCTCATATTTGTTCATCAATTTGATGATACAACACATCTGCCAAAGATGATCATAATCAGGATAGTAAAGTATGACGGGGATCTACTGTATGTAAGAATTATCAGATACTTCATTTGCAATTTGACAACAGACCATGATGGTGTTCACACTTTTCAAATATTATTCAAGAAGTGTTATCAGTCTAGTTCCAACTATCATAAGTACTATGTTTGTGTTCCTACTTTAAATTCAAAACAAGCAAATGTAAAAGGTTCATGTCGCACCCTCCACCACGGGACGTGATCGTCATTAGACTTGGCAACCCTGCGAATGACAGATAGATATCCCCTCCAGTCAAAAAGGCAATCAAATAATAAACATTATTAGTTTGTATGCTTTTTGGACTTAAAAGACATTATTTGTGAGACATTTTTCATATTTTTTTTGTCTATGTCCATAGTAATTGCATTATGCATCACGGAAATGTAGGGATTGACACGTCTTACACATATTGTCTGTGTTTTAGGAGGGAGAGGACAATGTTTTTATTGCTTTGAAGAAATTCATTAACCCATAAATTAATAAATGGTTACTATTATGATGTAACGGAAGATGAGGAATTGGATGCAATATATTTTATATACTATTTTCTTAGAAAATACAGACAAATCCACACTATTCAACAGGTATGTAGCTATAATGATTGCCATGAATTAACAAACTTCCAAACCCAGCTAGAAAATCGACCCATTATTTGCCGTATTCCCATTCGCTGAGGCGATAACGGATAGTCAAATGTAAACTTATAACATCAATCAAAATACATGAAAGTTGTCCTGTTTTCTCTGTACAAAAGCACCATGTTGGAATCAAAAAGTGGTCTTGTTTATAATACACTCGAATTTTCACGATTTTATTCAATATTTTAATAGAAATCACTGATATTCAGAGACCTTTGACAGCTTCCGTCAAATTGCATTTCGATAAGGTATTTTCCCCTTGGTCCATAATATTAATGTTGGTGAAATCGGGTCTAAGTCAAGCTGTCTAAAATATTTATTTCCTCCTTCAGGCGATGCTAAAAAGAATATTGAATGTCAATTAAAGCCATTACAATCTGCTTTCTGGCCTGACTTCGTTTTTCGTTTAGCCGCAACCCCAAGAATTTGTACTTTGTAAAATAGTTAATAAACCCCTTATTTAATCAACATGAGTGTCTTTGCGAGAACACACTAGCCGCACATGCATAAGTAATGACTGGTCTTATTAGTCGAACTTTGTTTATCAAACTCAATTTCGAATATTTACATTTCAAAGGAACGCAATTTGGAATTTTGCTTCCAACGCTGCTATATGTTTCTGCTAGGTCACGACTTTATCAAGGGTGACACCGAGATACTTGGCAGAATTTTTCCATGCTATACGATTTACATCTCGAAACCTCAGCTTAGAGGCCCCGACGTTTTTTGGTACAATAAATAGCCTGCGTTTTCGAATGGTTAATTTTAATCAGATACCGTTCCGCCCACTCTAGTACTTCCTCTACCGCACTCTGCAACCCACCGCGAACCGGGTCACGAGTACACGACAGGGCGACAAGTGCCGTAAAAATAAATTAAACAAATTTAAAAGAAGTACTGGAGGACAAGCAAAAGAAAATTATTTGGTACTACCCCCCAGCTAAATGTTCGGGCTTTCAAGAATTAAAAAATTTAATTTAAAATGGAAAGATTTAGTATTGGGTTACATCAATTCAAAAATTTAGAAGTAAAACAAAGCTGCTGTTCAATCACGGTGTGCAAGGAAAATCGTGATTGCACTAGCAATACACAAATTTTTCAATTAACCTGAACTAAATAAAAATAATCAGATATCTAAAAAAAAACATATGGCCCCGGAGATAAAATACTTCATGTCCTTATAAGTAAGGCAATTAAAATGTTACTTGAGCACAACCGGAATATTTTACCTCGTCAGGGTGGCTCACTGAAATTTCAGTTAATATACAACCAAAATCAGAAGCAAAATAAAAATAACACTGTATTATTCTCAGTATACTATGATACAGAACAATATACATATATGTTACCAATGAGATCTTCAAAGCATTTCTTTCTTTTTACTACTGAATAAGTTGATGAATTAATAGTTTTTGACGAATTCAATATTGACCTAAACAATCGATAATTAAATGGCTAAAATATAACCTCAGTGTTACAGAAGAATGCCTAAATTGGCACAAATAAAATTACTGATAGCTTTATGCTTAATTTTTGAACGAGGTGGTTGCGTTTTCAATTTGTACGAGATTAAGTAAAAAAAAATCATAATTACTTCGAACGATGAGAGTTCACAGAAACGGGAGACGACTCCTCACCGACGTGAGACCTAGTTAAACATCGCCTCGGAGTATCAATGCAGACAGTTTCCCCCATATAGAATTGGAAATCATCTTGAAAAAATGAACACGTGGTTTGTAGAAAATGATCACTTACGAGCTCGATAGTTTAGTGCAGCTGTGACAACGCATAAATAAAAAAAAGCGACAACAAAATTCACAAAATCTCCACAACCTGGAAAATCTCCAACACTGGGTGTGAAATTAATCCACTAAATCGGTTTGTGGACGTTGAACTGCTACACGAGAGCACAAAAAAACAGCACCAAGTCAAGTCCAGTTTTAGTATTCATGTCGACGGAAATTATAAAAAAAGACCTTTAACGAGGTGGGGAGCAGAGTTCGATTTTCTACCATAGAACAATTAGACCAAGAGAAGGGGGGAAAATTAAATTCCATTTTTTTAAGAACTGTCAGAAAATCATTCTTCTAAATAAGAAAAACGTTGTAATACTTTACTCAATCAAGAAATAGTAACAAACCAAAAAGGAAAACCCCTTTGAATTAATTTACAGAGGAGACCTGCTTGCCACACCTTGTCAAAGGCTTTTGAGACATCCAAAAGCAAGACGCCAGTACACACACTGAGGGTGAATCCTCTGGTTACATGTTCCACCACCCTGACTGCCTATAGTTCGGTACTTTGCTCGGACCGAAATCCGAATTGAACATCGGGAATCGCATTGATGATCTAGCGAAAATCTTTTTTGACAAAAAATCAATGAATTACACTTACATAGTTGGATTTATTGAATTTGTTGTAGTTGATAATTTTTTCGGATTATCGTGACATTGAGTTTGTTACACCTGGCATTATGTTAATTATTAACAACAACAATCAACTCTCAACAACCCACCTGTAACTCCCACACGAGGAACTACTCTCATCATCCGACGGCGTGCCTGGTCTGTCCTTCCCTCCGTTTCCGATCTCGGCCCTTCCTATCGCGGGCGGCGTTGGGCTGCCCTGCAACGACGGCGAGGGCGGCGTGAAGGGCGCCGAAGGCACCACGGCCATGTCGTCGCTGCCCTTCAGGCTGTCGAAGCTGCTCCCCGTCTCGCCAATGGCTAGGGACGAGCTGTTGTGCTGCTGGCGATGTTGGTAGTGCATGTGATGGAGGAGGTCAGCGGCACTCTGGAAGTAAAAGGATGGTTTCATACAAAGAATACAAAGTTACCAGTAGAAGTGCCACTCTAGAAAAGGTTTCTGACTCCTAAACATGCCGACATTCTTCTAAGAACTCGTATCGTACTTTTTTTTATTGATTTATACAAAGTAGTGCTGTTGTAGTTTGGCGCTCGTAAGCAACATATAGAGTGCTTAAAAAATGCGAGCTCAAAAATAGTTTTCAGCCTCTACGCCACTGTCTGTCGATAATTTACCTGTCATACTGTATTCTTTGCCATTACGCAGTACTGTGACTGGAAATACAAATTAATGCGAAATGTAATAACTTTTTTACGTTTTACAAATATTCCTCTATGTACCATGTTTTCTCACTTGTTAATTTCAATATACTGCACCAACCAGGGATTTTCTTTTCTTGTCGCCTTCTTTCATTAAATTCAGCAAATTTGCATATGTAATTTCCAGGTTGAATAACAAAAGGCGGATGCGCAACTAATTTCTAGCTTGTATACATCTCAAGTAAGTGTATTTGAGACAAGAAGCCAATGGAATTATCAACAACACAGATTATTAGTACACGAATCCTCACTACGCACCTATTCACTGCCGTTTCCTTCCAGTTATACAGGATGTCCAGTGGGAAAGTTCGAATATCAAATTTGAATTACGCGGCAATCGTATACGCGAGGAAGTGGGGAGAGGACTTGATCGACGCGTTCGGCGTGCGGGTTAAATAGTCACAATGGAACGTTGGACCGGAGCGCAACGTGCTTTTGCTATCGAAGCTTACTTCAAGAGTGGTGATTCATACGCAGCTGCCCTTCGGAAATTTTGTACCCGATACATCATTCGCCGACCAAGAGATGCCGCAAGTAAGAACCTATTGGAAAAGTGGATTAAGAGGTTCAATGAACCAGGCTCGACTCTTAGTCATTCCTAGCCCCACACCTACTGTGTTAACTGAAGAAAATTTGCGTCGAGTAAGTGATTCGGTCATTGCAAATCCTCGGCGTTCTGTACGGAAGCATTCCGCTGCTTTGGGAATCCCTAGGTCACTTTTAACTCAAAAAGTTATATCGAAGTTTGGAGATTGGCCTCCTAGGACACCCAGCTTCACGCCATGCGAGTATTTTGGTGGGACTATCTAAAGTCAAAAGTGTATTCCAATAATAAGCCACGAACACTGGAGGAGCTTGAAGACAACATTCGGCGAGAAATAAACAACATCACTCCGGAACTCTGCAAGAGGGTGTTCCAGAACTTGCACGCGGGATTAGAAGAGTGTGTCAGAAGGGATGGCAAACATTTGGACGGAATGATATGTTAGAAATAAAACGCGCCGAATTTACGATTATATTGATAGTAATAAATATTTTCTTTTCATTAAGTTTGTATTTTTCTTTTAATCAAACAGTGAACTTTCTCACTGGACACCCTGTAGTATATAACTTACCATCTCTGAAGCATCATGACGCTTAGGCAACACATGCAGCTACGGAACGAGTATACATCAAGTGTACAACAGCTAGTGGTAAGTTGACATCTTGTAGTAAAACCTACATAATGTCAAAAAACTGGCATAATCTCACTTTTCAAGATATTACTATTCGTCATTTGTTTGACTGGGCGGTCCGTAGGACCTTTGCCCATTAGTCACTGTCTAATGTACGTGAGTCGAATCTGTCAGTCCTGGTTGACCAGAAACCAGACAATGCCAAGGAAAAGGAGGAAAGGGAAAGAGAAGAAAAAAAGGCGAAGGGCATAGAAAAACAGAAGTGTTTAGTTTAAGAGGAAACACCTAGGCTTTTTGACTTGGTACACGGGTTAATTTTGAGGTGAACTAAACAAATTTTGATTCGGTTTTGTTAGAGTGTAGTTTTAAGTAAAAGTTCGCGCTAATTTTTGATTACAGTGCGAGGCGTGGACTTGAATGTTTACGAACTTCCCCACTGTGTAGTCCACTGAGTCGCGCAACAGAGGGTTGCTGTGCGATTCCGCTTGACTATAACGTCGCTGCACCTGAATCCCTCAAGGTGTAGTGTCTCGTTTGAGATACACCATGGAGCGTTGCAAATTGTTCCCAAAGTTCTACTTTGTAGTACTTGAAGAGTTTGCATGTGTGTCTTGGCAAGAAAACACCAAGCCGCAGATGCATAAGTAATGGCTGGTCTAATAATCATTTTATATAGGCGAACTTTGTTTATCAAACTCAATTTGGAGGATCTACATAACAAAGGATATAGTTGCCGAAACGCAATTTGGAATTTTGTTTTCAAGGCTACTGTATATTTCTGCCAGGTCATGCCTTTATCGAGGTACTTGGCATGGTACACGATTGTCGTCTACAGAAACCTCTGCTGGGGGGCTGCGACGTTTTTTGGTACAATAAATCGCCTGCGTTTTCGAATAATTAATTTTAATCAGCCACCGTTCCGCCCACTCTAGTACTTCTTCCACCGCACTCTGCAACCATCGTGAACTAGATCACCAGTACCCGACTGGGCGACAAGTGCAGTGTCTTCAGCATAGAGGTAGACTTCACAGTTGCTGGGGCAAGGGACATCATGGATAAAAAGCGAATAAAGGATTGGTCCTAGGACCCAACCCTGAGGAACACCAACCCGTACTGGCCGTGTTGTTGTCAAAACATTGTTAATTTTGATCCGAAACTTCCTTCCTTCAAGAAAGGATTTGAGTAATTTTAGAAGCCAAGAAGGAAAACCCTTTTGGATTAGTTTATAAAGGAGGCCCACAAATTGTCAAAGGCTTTTGAAACACCCCAAAGCAAGATGCCACTATTCATCCTAAGCGTGAACCCTCTGGTTACATCTTCCACCAGTCTGACTGCCTGTAGCTCGGTGCTATGCTCGGACCGAAAACCGAATTGAACGGCAGGAATCACATGGTGATTTGACGAAAAATTCTCAAGATGGCGATAAATCACCTTTTCGGCGAGCTTAGAAGGAGGTGACAGCAGACTAATGAGACGATAATCCTGAGGAAATATCGAACCCACCTTCTTTGGAATCATGATGACCTCAGCAGTCTTCTACCCCGCAGGGAAGTGCTGGGTTCTGAGCATCGCATTGATTATTGTCACCAAATATGTCAGAGCTTTCGGCGAGAGCAGCTTCAGCGCCTTGTTGGTGATTTGATCCTCCCCAGGTGCTTTACGCACCTTGAGGTCTTTAATAAGACCTAGGAGCTCCGCTGGAGTGCAATGTGGAACCTCGGAGGGTTCCTCTAATGTGCTATGCGAAGCCTCAGACGAATCTTCTGAAGAAGAGTAATCTGAAGAGGATACAGTGCCTCCGCTAACGCCGTTGGCCCTAAACTCTCTCCTGGCGGATCTTACAATGTGTTGTTCCTCGTCGAGATCATTATCAAGATCATAGTTGGGAGAGAAATGTTTTTCGATGGCGTCAGCGAAAACCTCGACTTTACCCTCTGTTCTGAAGACTATGCCTTCAGGACCGTGGATGTACGGAAGTTGTTCTCGTTTTCCGTTTTTGAGTGACTTTGCGACCCTCTAGAGAGGAATACTTGAATCAAGCATTCCAGCTAGAAAGTCGCTCCATTGCTCATTACGGCATTCATGGAGCGCGTTTCTCACTTCATGGACAAGACTCGTAGCCCTACGAATGTCATCAGGATGGCAATATCTTTTTGACTGCTTAATAGCGGCTCTCTTGTCAGAGACTTTCTGACGAATGTCCGCAGGCAAAAAATGTCTGCCGTGTAGTTGTACAGACTTTTCAAGATACGTAATACCCGCAATATCAATCGTTCGTAGTGAACTTATTCACGTAGTTCAATCGTTCGACTGAACCTGTTCGTTCGCGAACTACACATTACTATTCTGCAAATACCACGTATAAGGAAAAATACCTACCTTGATAGAGCCACTCCTCCTCGAACTATCCGTCCCCGAATTAGCGGTCATATAATCGTCCGTAGTGGTACTTTCAGACACATCAGTATTGGTCTTGCAGGAATCAGTCCTAGCCAATAGCAAATCGGGTACGACGGCAGCAGGTTGGGGCGATTCGGCAGGAGGTACCGCAGGTGGCCTCCATTGTGGGACTGAAGGAACGGGAGAAGGGGAAACGGTGAGAAATCGACGAGGGGCTGAGGAAAGTTCATTGGAGGTGGTGCGATCTACGACGATCCGGGGAAAACCGGTGCCTGGGGAGGTGTCCACGTTATCTACAACCTGGGGGAGGAGTTGGAATTAGCGGATCCTTCGTTCAGATAGAAAACAAAAACACACGAAAATATCACTTTTCATTTTAATGGGTGTTCAAACTGTTGTCCGATATTGGCCAAACAATGACATAGGTGATGTTCAAGTTCATGACGGACATTCTAAAAACATGCGGTGGGATATCATGGCAGCTTTTGATGATGCGTTGACCAAGTTCATCCAAACTTTCAGGTTGGGGAGTACACACAATATATTTCAAATGGCCCTATAGAAAAAAGTCTAATGGCGTCAAATCAGGAGCCCTCTTTCCCCTATCCATTTATCTGAAAACTCGTCGTCTAGCCATTGCCGAACCGGAAGAACGTAGTGAGGAGGAGCGCCGTCTTGCTGGAAATTTAATTCACCCTCATCAAGTATAGGGTTTCCATCCTTTTCGATTTGGTTTTCAATGGTTTCAGTGGTAAGCGGATTGATGGTATTTTCCAACATATCCAAATAAATGCCTCCATTCAAATTTCCATTAATAAACAATGGTCCAATCACTTTGTTTCCTAAAATGCCTGCCCGTACATTAATTCTTTGGGGGTACTGCGTATGCCCTTCTACAAAAGCATGGAGATTTTCATTGCTCCAATACCTGCAGTTATGCATTTAGATAAAATGTGCATTCATCACTGGAGCAGATAGCAGATATTCTTTACACGAATGGTATTATCAATAATCCCGGCAGTCATTTGTTCACAAAAAAAAAATATTTTCATTTTGAATGGATGGAATTTATGGAGCTTAGTAAGTGTGTGTACAGAGCCTAATAAAATACTAGTCGCAGCAATGATTTTGCGTGGTGAAGTATTAGGATTTAATCCAAAATGACCCAAAACTTCCAAAACTTCAACTTGAGCGGTTTCATCCAAAAATCTCTGATGATCACGTTTTTTATTTGCTACAGATCCAGTTTGAGTGAATTTAGTAACAACAACAAATAACTGAACAGGTATAACAATAACAATACAGTTAGCCCAGGGTATCTGTGTTGATGAAAAGAATGCGGAAAATTCGGGTTGTTATTTGGTTGTTACCAAGTCTAATCTTCTGAATTGCTGGTTATGTTGGTAGTTTCCGTTTTAAATTATAAACGAATAGTAGATTTGGCAAACCCTAACGAGCACAATTTTTGAACACTTACTGAATATTATATTTTCGTGTGTTTTCTATTTGAACAAATTAAGATAAACAAAGGTTTTTCTAATTTTCTCAAAAACGAATCGACTGATTTTAAAAAAGCAAACGTCAAAATAAAGGACTTCGAAATACCTATCAAACAAGCTATTACTCGATATCCCTTGTCATTTAAAATTTTTAAGGGAATGATCCTGGGGGTCGAGGGTGAAGTAGTTCTTGGTTAAAAAATTGTCCCCGTTGAGAAATCTGTTGATGTATTTCGGCGATTTTTCGTTTAATCAGTGGTTTTCGATAAAGCCGTGGTGGGGGGTTTTCAAATGAACGCCATGTATAACTGGAGCTTATACAATATTTCAGGTGTTGAAAGTATAATTTGTAACAGTTATACAAACAAAAGAATGTTATATTGGAATATTTGTGTGAGGTGACAGATACATTTGAGTAACCAATTTATGTATTTCTGTTCAAAATAAATTTCTTAATGAGTCTTTTAAGTTCGTCATTTTGTGGCTCGAGGTTCGTTGTAAAAAATAACTGCATTGTAGGTGAAGCATTTACAAAAGAATGATGTCCTGTGAAGAGGCATTGCGAGTGTTTCCGTGTATGGAATGTTCCTAATGCTTCGAGATATCAGCTTATTTTTCATAAATGGCGTAATAGATGAGAGCAAAAGTCTGTGGGTGTAACTAAGTGTAGCCCGCACAGTTCTTTTACTCTCAACCATTGCATGTCTTTGAAACAAGAGCTATGATCATATTTTTGGTTGGAGTCGTTTGACAGATATTGAGTCGAGAAATGGAAGATAAACTAAATCACAATAACAAATCTTTCCCAAAATAGTTTTAATTTTTTCTTGACTTTATTCGAAAATAAATTGCATGTTAACATTACCACTTTTTCTCCTTTACAAGGTGACATAATTAGAATTTCAATATGTTGTCTCGTCTCCTATCCTCCAGTATCAACTATTTTTTTCTAATGGATGCTACTCGTATATTAGATTTTTGCGCAGATAAATAACTCATTGCCAAACCTGGATTTTTCCAGAAAAACAGAAGTTCGGTAGGCCTTGAAATTAACAGATTGCATTTGTTTTGTATACCAGACCTGAAATTAAACCTAGCAACAGAGTTTGGAACACTGAGTAGAAGAGAAATAAATCGAGCAGTAAACAATGTACAGAGAAGAGTCAGGCTTTGTCTACAAAATAGCGTACAACATTTTGAACATGTGATATGATTTATCACTGCTTGTTAAAGATAAAGTTTTCATTTTGTGCTTAGATTTCACCACACCTTTTTATTTCCCTATAAGTTTCATCCAACAACAAACTCATGGCCAACTGAGGAAAGACGTCACTGAACTTAACATTGAAAAGTCGATTTAATGTACAAAATTCCAATATAGCGCCCATATGAAGAAACAAATCATGACGCCATTCATCAGGTGCGAGTAAAATATGCCGAAATATGTATCTAAAAGGCCTTCCTTCGTAGAGATACGTTGAAATTGTCATAATACGACTAACTATGCTGGAAGTCTCTTGCACAAAAAGTCTATATGAGCCCCCCATTTGGCAGCACAATAAATTTTTGACCAAGAAGATAAATCGTTTCGTTTTCATTGACAGTAAGTTTCCTTATGCGAATTAATTGGCTCCGAAGCCACCCTCGCCCAGATCTTTTTGCTCTAAAAAACATAAAAAATACCTCTTCGTCTAAGTTTTCGGTATCCATCGATGACCGTTGCTGATGTTGCATCATTAGTAAATGTCTTCTCCTCGACGAAGGCGTAAGCAATAACGTAGTTGAGCCAGGCGACGTAGCTGATGTCATTTCTGAGCTACTGAGTGCCGTTCCATTTTCTGTTCCAGAATCCACTTGCAGAACCGTCGCTTGAGATTCGTTCCAGATACCGTCCGATTGATCCCTGCAATTTTGTAGGATTTTACCAAATACGTTTGAAAAAATGGAAAATTTCTTTGTTGGAAAAGCTTTGCTGTTCTTTTAGTAAAAATTCTGATGGAGCAGAGAATTAAATATGATATTTATTAGATTTTTTTTCAATGTCCGATATCGGACTCCTATTTATATATCGGCCTATATGATTTATTTGGTGCCGTTCGTCAGGACAAGGTAGGCAAAATATTTATTTAAGAACGTTAACCTGCAATCACACTGGATCAACTTAGATTTAATAGGAAGACCATGAGGGCCATAGTAGGTCACCTAAAAGGACACTGTTGTCTAATTCGACATATGAGGCTCTTGGGTCTGGTTGAAGAGGTCACATACCTTTCCTGCAGAGAGTATGAGGAAACCCAATCTCTGGTGTCAGTGCGAAAGCCTGATAAGGCTTCGGTTTCAGATACTAAGGATCACAACTCCAACAGCGGATAGCTACATGCAAGGCCCGGTATCAAGGCTATGAAGTCTGGTTAAAGGATCAAGGATGGACAAAATGCTTCAGGCAGTGTTATATGGGGGATCGTTATACAGGGTGTCTGCGAAAGGTTGGGAAATCTCGAAACTGGAGATACTGCAGACTAAAATATGTGAACTGACCTAAACATACCTGAGTCCAAAAGGTGATAGTATACGGGATATAGGGTGTCAAAGTTACAATTTTATTTTCTATTTTTCCTTATTGCTTGAGAAGTATTCCAGATTTTGGCATAAAACACGGTATAGTGAGGTTTTCTAGTTTGAGAAACAAGATTCTGTTATTTTTTATGATCAAATTACTAGAGGGCGCCACTTACAGCACTATTTCTGTAAATAACTTATCATAACTTTTTTGTGCTACCCTGTATACAGCAACTGACCAAAAAAATTTTATTTTCTCATATAGCAACGCTAATCAGGTATTATCCAAAGCAACTTGATTATTATGTGATAAAAATGTTCTATCATCATGGTACAAATAATGCATTGGAACTTTAAAAAAATATCTCGAAAACTATTAGCTTTAGGCACTTCTAACAAGTAAACCTTTTTTGTTGCGGAAATACGAGAAAATAAGATTTTTTGGTCAGTTGTTGTATACAGGGTAGCAAAAAAAAGTTATCATAAGTTATTTACCGAAACAGTGCTGTAAGTGGCGCCCTCTAGAAGTTTGGTCATACAAAATAACGGATTATTGATTCTCATATTAGAAAACCTCCCTATACCAAGTTTTATGCCAAAATCTGGAATACTTCTCAAGCAATAAGGCAAAATAGAAAATAAAATTGTAACTTTGACACCCTGTATCTCGCAAACTATCAACTTTTGGAAAAAGGCATGTTTAGGTCAATTCACATAGTTTGGTCTGTAGTATCTCCAGTTTCGAGATTTCCCTACCTTTCGCAGACACCCTGTATATCCATATGGGTCGCAGTATATGCTCAAGGACCGAGCCCTGGAGGACACCTGCCCTGATGGAATGATACGTAGAATACGTATCCTTAATTTTGATCCTGAACTTTTTTCCTTCCAAGAAGAATATTTAAGCAATTTTGACAGTCAAAAGGGAAATTCCTTATTGATCTCCAATATACAGGTCGTTTCATTCCTTAGTGATTTGGATACAAAAGACTGCTGCACGTATTTTCTATTTGTAGTATTTCGCAAGTATTACGACTTCAATGACAAAACTTGGAATTATTCAGTTTTTAGTAGAAAGAACCTATAAATGTTATATTATTTTTAAAGAGCATCAAAGGCTAGTTTTTAAGATAATTGCAGATTCAGTCTGTTACATTTTTCACATTTAAACAAAATGTGTTATTTTTTTTAGCATACCGTGCTAATTTCCAATCAAATGAATACTCGGTTATCTCAACCAACTATTAATGGTAGTCCAGGAAAAAACTCATAAGTTAGTTCTTAATAGTCGTAACAGGCAAAAAGGAGCAAAAAGTAGTGATTTTTTGAAAGAACCTAAAAGTGGCAATATCTCGAAAACTAGAAAACTTTTACTAAGATCATGTTGATTTTATCTGATTTATCTACCTTCCGTCTCACTCTGGCGTGGTTATTTCTGGGACACTATGTCTGTACCCGCACTAAAGCGCAAAAACACATGGACTCTGGACGAAACGAAAGAAAACTCGCTGCAACGATGCCTCGCAAGTGTGAAAAGGGACAATGTTGCCACATGGTCGGTAACTACCAGTAGGGCATGGAAAGAATGTCTATGTACTAATTGCATGGGCTTCTTTGAATGTCTCATTACGTTTAGTTTCTCTGTTGTACCTATCTGTAACTTATTTTTTTCCCAGAGGACTTAAATTGCGCTGAACTTGATACTTAATGAACTGATAACGGCGTTACGTAGGGAGTGCAGAGTTAACTCACTTGACGCCATTATTTGCCGTTTATTGTGACGACATCTGATTTTTTTTAATATATCGTTTCAATATGTTTGTACCTTGCATCATTATTCAGCGAATCGTTGGATGTGAACGGCGACAACTTAGAATCAGGCATAAACCGAACAGACGGCACAACGCTCTCTCCCTGCCGTGTCTCCTTCACAGCATTACTATCTTGCCTGTTCAAGAAGATCCTGTTGTAGATGATATTCTCATGGAACTCCTCGTCAATGGAATCCTGCCCTTGAATACCCGCGTCTAACGAAGAGTAGATGTTCTCCTCAAGAGGCCTGCAGATACCCTCGTTTCTGATTGGAGCTTTTTGGAAATAGGGCCTGAAGTTGATCGGTTCATCTTCGGCTGTGATGTTCTCGTGGCTTACCGAGGTTGGTTTTTCGGGGACTACGCAGTCGTTGTCGTTCACCTGTTGAGAATAATTCGTTATATCGTACACTACTGAAAAAATTAAGGGAGCAAGAAAGAAATTAAAATTTCGCGGTGATTTTTGAGAGGCTGTAGTGAAAAATGGTCGTATCTAGACCTTAAAAGAGCTTTTTGAAGGTTTAAAATTCTAGGTTTCAAGGTTTTTAGTCAAAAAACTTTAAGAGCAATGGTTCTTATGCAATTTTTACTGATAGCGCAAGAAAAAATTTTTGCCTCCTTTTTAGTCCACGGTCTTGAACATTTTTTTTCTGTTAGATAATCATTATGCATGGTATAGCTCGTTTAGTCATATTCAATGTCCTACATTTCAAGTCTCGATTCGGTCAGTTGGCGTGGGGATATGTGACTGAAAAAGGACCCTTTTGTCATCGACCACTGATATCTGGGTAACCAGTGATCGAACAGAGAATGTAAGGAAACTGGAATAAATCTTAGAACTTATTCAATTGCCTTTTTCAAATTTGAAGATGTTAGAGTGGAAAACAAAAAAAAATAATGACTTTTCCATTTTCAACCAGATTACAAACACGCATAAAAACCGTACACTGGATCGATCTGCCGTCTCTCAAGGTTATTAGGGGGGTACATTGAGGTATACGAATATCTAAAAACATTAGCCTCCTCATCAGCAGCGCCAAAAATCGGTGAATATTTCAAAACAAGGCATAAAGTAACTTTTTTGGCTTTTCTGGAATAAGTACAATGTAAGCCAAATAAAAATTCCTCTAAGATTGCAATCAAATTTTATCGGAGCTTTATTCCAGGTTTCGAAAATATCCTTACATTCAATTCAAAGTCATATATTTTCGCCCCAAATGAATAAATGGGTTATCCGATCCATATAATTACCTGACAAAAAAATTCAACCCTGTAGACTAAAAACATAAAACATGTTTCTTGTGCCAACTGTTAGAATTGCAAGGGAACCGTGGCTCCTAAAATGTTTCGGCTAAAAAACCTGAAAACTACAATGTTAGAGTCTCAAAACAGTTTTTTAAAGCCTCGATACAACTATTTTTTACCGAAATACAGCCTGCCAAAAATCACCGGAAAAATTGTACTTTTTTCTTGCTCCCTTAGTCTTTTTGAGTAGTGTAGTAATAAAAAAATGATTAGCGAAAAGGAAGAAAAAACGTATTTCGCACACGACAAGAGAAACCTTCGCGTGGATACTGTCCATATATTCTTAATTATTATTATAAAGGTATCATAAAAACAAATTAAGGGTAATAAAAGATTGTAACAGGAACGTTGTTGGTTAATAGGATACGGCACGGGTATCATGTAAAAAACCTATAAAACGTCAAAAAAAGATGTCAACTTGCAGACTAGGTAGTTTTTAGGGCGCAAACAGTCATTCCACGTTTGCTCACTAGGATCGTTGTAAACGTCCATCTGTGGAGGATTCACTCAACTGAACTACGCATTATTGGTTGCATAGCTTTGTGAAGCTGAGTGATCCGGGTCTGTAGTTTTTATCTCTGAGAAGAAAGTTGGTTGAATAGCAAGATCGCATCTGGATGATTATGTGCATTGGTCTGCATAAAATCTGTGATATTTGCTGTGTGAGAAAATCATTACTGAATATGGCGAATATGACGGGTTATTTATATGTTGTGCTTTCTGAAGAGAGGTTATGTTCAAAGTTATAAGTTACGAAAAACTGAGGAGAATTACGGGAAATCATCACCGCGCCCGCGTTGTATGTAAATACTGTTAGCATGTATACGGCTTGTAATTCGACAGCGTAAAGTGGATATAATTATTTCTTATCTCTCTCATTTTTGAAATTCAGCAAATTTGTATATGTAATTTCCAGAATGGATAAGAAAAAGTGGATGCGCAACTAATTTCTAACTTTGAATCTCAATTAGGTCTATTTGAGACAAGAACCCAATGTAATTATCATCAACACATACAACTTACAGCTTAGACCTTCAGTAATGCCATCTCAGAAGCAGATTTTACATCACATCAAAGCCAAAGATTGATAACAAGCCTCATGATGTTTAGGCAACACGTACAAGTAAGTGCTAAGTTAACATCTTGTAGAATAACCTACATAATGTCACAAAAAACCAGCATAATGTCAAAGAAAATCGGCATGTCCCTTTTCAAGATACGTGATACCCCTGCGGAGCTCTTAAATGAGGTAGAACACGTTTGTAGCCTTGATTTGCATTAGGTTTATATATCTGGTAATATTGTGCACTAGGCATCAAAACATGGTTCTAAATGCCTTCCACGAACACACAGCCCTCTAATACGAAAACGCGACATTTTTGTCTGCTACAGTTTGAATTTTCCCGCGAAGACAAACCTATTGTTATAATGACGTCACTCCTGTTATCTGTCATCAGACATCATCGAAGCCATCATTGCCATCGCTGTTATAAGGCGTTGAACGCTAGGAAAAAAAGCTGGCATTCAGATGTTGGCAGTTTCCCGGAAGGTTGTTAGAAACAATACCTTTCATCGCGGTACAAATCTCGAATCAGTTCTGAATGGTTTTCGAATTATGAGAGATGAGCATGCGCAGTTTGGTAATCGTTGAGTACCGCGATCGCTTTGAAAGCGAATTATTTGACTGGTCTGAATTAATAATAATAATATTCATTACCCTCATTAAACAGTATATAAAAGTTTACAAACAAAAAGCCTTAAGAAAATAAAGGGCTACATATGCTTGCCCCTTAAAGAAGCAGCTGCTAGAGCAAAAAAAACAAACAAATTTAAACAATTCTATAATAATGCAAATGGCTATATAAATAATTGATAATGTTTTGATATTAAGAAAGCGAAGTATAGTAAGTACAGAAATGGAAATTTAGAGTGAGAAGAGAAAGCGAGGGGAAAGAGAAGAAGAGAAAAGGGGGAGCAGGAGATATGTTTTCTATGATATCTGAGACAGTAAATCACTTTTAAGGCTCCTCTTAAAGGTAGCTACCGAGGGAGAAAAATCTTTAATTTTGAATTTATTTACTAAAAAGGTAATGAGAATGATTTCTTAAATGATTCTTTATTGTGTGATGGTATTGTAATCAAACTCAATCTTCTAATGTTTAGATTAGGTACATCAGTCCGGTAACTAATTTTTAAGTGAACATAAGGGAGGCTTTTATATTTTATAATCTTGTTAAAAAAAGGAAGTAGAGTGCAAGGTACGCCTCTGAGCCATATTCAACCATCCTTGTTCAGGTACTTTGTGGGATACTCTTTGTCTACCCCTTATGCCAAATATCAGTCTCAGACAAGAATTCACTCACACTATCAAGAAATGGGCCATATACCATATCAGCAAAGTTGAAGTGGGACAACACTAAAGCTTCGCGGAGCGTGGATTTCGTATTTTGTGATAGGTAATGTCTATAGGGGTACATTATTTTTAACATTGGATATGCTTTCCATAGGCACAGAGTAATGTGCTCTCTAAACTTAAGTTTAGAGTCAACTATTAAGCCCAAATCCTTCACGGAATCCCTAAATGATATTATATTGTCCCCTAGTTCGAGCTTAATATTATTGTCTAAAACGTTTCTGTAGGAATCACTACAAAATAATGTAGCCGTCGATTTACTAGGGTTTATCTTTAACAAGTGATCTTCAGAGGTTTTGAGAAGGCTATTCAAGTCGGTATTCAGTTGGTTTGTTATAAGTTCTGACAGATCAGGTTTAAAAGAGGCATATATTTGAGTGTCGTCAGCATAAAGATGATATTGACAATAACTCAGCGACTTTATGACAGCTTTACAAGCTGAGCTAACGTCAATTAATTTCCTGCAATTCTGGAGTGTTGTGGATGATATTTTTATAAATAATATTTTTGCATATTCTCTACTACACTGATGTATGTACAAAGACGTTCAGGGTAAATATATGTCCTTTTGAAAGTAAATGGTTCATCAGTGTGTAAACATTTATTTAACCGAGTTCAACGACATACATATTCTGCATATTTTTACACCCTCCAAGAAGACCATTATTAGGAGTAGAGAAGCAGTAAAAGTACAAGTGTCAAGTGAGAAAGTTCACTTTTTGATTTAAGAAAAAAAAATACAAACTTAACGAAAAGAAAATATTTATTCACCACTCTTAAAGTAAGACTCGATAGTAAAAGCACGTTGCGCTTCGGTCCAACGTTCCATTGTGATTATTTAACCCGCACGCCGAACATTGACCTGCCCTCACTTCCTCGCGTAAGCGGTTGCAGCGTAATTCAAATTTGAAATGTGAACTTTCCCACTGAACACCCTGAAGTAGAGCAGGGATATTATAGAAATAACGAACCTTCTGAGATTTCCTTTGCTCCAACAAAATCTCTCCATCACTCATGGTCTTGATAAGAGCCTTCTTGGAAGCCTTGGCAGCGGGTAGTTGTGGCTTAAAGTCGATGAATATCTCGCGTTTCGACTCTGAGTCTTCAGATTGGTTAGAAAGTGACGAGGTATCACTTTGCAGAGGGTTGAATGGTGGTACAATAGGTGCGGGGGGCTCAGGCGGTAGGACAAAATTTGAAGGGACATCCACGATGAACGGAGACCTGTGGAAATTTGTATTCTTGTATTGTGCAGCTCAAAAAAATTGTTTTGTATTGTCTAAACATACGATTGCAAAAATCCATTCCAAATGATAGTGACGTATGTAAAGGTGAGGTTTGGAGGCCCATACGCAAGATGAAGTAAAAGTTCACCTAAAAATTAGCGAATTCATCCATAACGTGTCACTAGTTTGATCCATTGAGGTGGCTTTACAATTTAGTCGTACTATCGAAAAAAATTAAAAACTTTGCGTGTATCAATAACTTGGATGAAGACCTGTTTCTAGCTTAAATCTGGAGCGTAGATAAAGGTTCGACTTTAAAATGTATCACAACAAGGTAACAAAGTCATCAACCTGGCAAAAACAAACCTTCTCAAAACCAATATAAACAAAAACAGCCCAACAAAAATGTGGCAGTTCGTAAACAAATACAATAAAATAAAACCAGTATCTGATATACATTTTGTGGAAAGTCAGACTACACATAAACTCACAACAAATGACAAAGATACAGCGAATTAATTTTGTAAGTATTTTTCAGAAGTAGGGGAAATACTAGCATAAAATATAACTAATCATGAAAAATTTGAAAGAACGCGAATACAAAATTCAATTTACTTGGCACCAACTGATCCGCTTGAGGTAAATAATATTATTTGCCAAATAAAGCGTTGGAAGCGTCATTTAAGAACAATTTTAACCATGGAACAGTACACACCAAAACAACGCGCTGAAATTATTCAGTTGTACATTCAAAATAACTTCACAATCGTGAAAACTAAACGTGCGTTTCGTGAAAAAAATAAAGTTAAAAGTGCTCCAGCTGATACTATCATACGTTTATTCGAAAAATTTGTGAACATCGGTAGTCTTAGTAATGCCAGTAACCTATCCAGACAACGAACACGACGTTCCGATAAAAATATCGGAGCCGTACGAGCCAGTGTTGAAGACATCCAAGTCATCGTTCTCAAGAGTTAGGCTTCGCTCGAACCACTCTTCGACGCATAATTCGTAAGGATTTGAAGATTTTTCCATACAGAACTGAAATGGCTCGTCAACTGATTATCCTTGTCGCTTTGATTTTACTAAATGGAGCAATGAAATGGCCGAAAATAAAGATCACTTATGGTGAAAAATCATTATGTCCGACGAGGCAGATTTTTCGTTACATAGAGGCGTAAATAAACAAAATTGTTGGTTGTTGGCCTCTTTATGACCAAAAAGTTATTGTTTGGTGCGGTATGTGCGTGAATATGGTCATCGGGCCGTATTCTTTTGAAGACAATGATGGAGCTGCGGTAACCGTCAATGGTCAGCATTATCGAGCCATGATAACGAATTTTTTGAGGCTAATTGTTTATGAAAATGACATGGACGATTACTGGTTCCAGCAGGACAGCGTCACATGCCACGCAGCTCAAGGAACAATCAATTTATTGCCACCATTGTTCCCTGGACGACTGATATAGAAGAATGGCGATTTTGACCGGCCACCGAGATCACCTGATTTGACGCCACCAGACGTTTATTTGTGGGGCTATATACGCTAACAAGCCAAGGACTCTAGCTGTCCTCAAGAACAATATTTGTCAACAAATTGCTGCCATATCCAATGTGATGGAAAACGCCGAAAAAAGGGCACATTTGGTTATCAAGGCCAGAGGTGGCCATTTGCGGGATATCATTTTTGAAAAGTAATTACAACAAATCTCCTTGGATCAAAATAAAAGATTTTTCAAATGAACAGCAAAAGATATTTTTTTAATGTATTTTTTTCTAAACAAATGCTTCCACTTTAAATGGCCCACCCTGTACTTTGGAGAATCTAGGATTTCGTCGCAAAACACATACTTTACTCAAAAGCTACCTTACAGATAGGAATCAGTGTGTGGAAGTTAATAATCTCATCAGCGACCTGCACCATGTAACATACGGTATCCCACAAGGTACAGTCTTAGGACCTATCCTGTTCAACCTATATGTAAATGATCTCTTTAACTTACACACACACGGTAACATTATCGGATTCGCAGATGGCACGACTGTTTTTTTAGCGAAAGATCTTGGAATATATTAAAGACATTATAAGCTTCTTCAATAATAAAATATTAACAATCAATCATGAAAAAACTTTATATCTGACTTTTTCATGTGATGATTGGAACAGTCCCACATTCACTAACATATACTAAGTGACATACAAATCCGAACACCCAGTTTAAATGGTTTTATTTTAATAAAATTTTTGTATAAGTACTTAATGAAGCATAATAAGTAAATGATAAAAATTTCAAAATGATTGCACTGCTTTAGAGCCCTTTGACCTTTAATAATGTGTGGATGCACCCTGATGTGCTACGCATTCTTCAACGCGCCTAGGCATGCTTCTGATTAGGTGGTCAATGTCCTCCTGTGGTATCTCATTCCAGGCAACCACCAACTCCTCTCGAAGTGCTTCTAGAGTCTGAGGAGGACGTTGCAAATTGAGTAATCTCCTACCCATCATATCACACACGTGCTCAATTGGGGATAAGTCGGAAGATCTTGGTGGCCATGGTAACAATGTGACATCATTATGTTGAAAGAAGTCTATTGTGACTCTTGCAACATGTGGTCGGGCATTATCTTGTTGGAAAGTTGGATCTGCCAGGGTGTCAAGATAGGGTAAAAGATGGGGTTCTAGAACTTCGTGGATATAACGCTGCGCGTTCATGTTACCTCTGATGAAGATTAAAGGTGACCTGGAACCATAAGCTATAGCACCCCAAACCATAACTCCAACAGTGTGATGAACATGTCTTTCAACAAAAAACTGTGGATTCCTCCTTTCACCACGTCGCCTTCTAACCCTGGCACGACCATCGTGCATGCCTAAGCAAAATCGAGACTCGTCACTAAAGACAATACTGTTCCATTCCTGATCCCAGAGTGACCGTTGTCTGCACCACTCAAGGCGATTACGTCGGTGTTCTCGAGTTAAAGGGAGGACCCAGTGTGGCCGGTATGAAAACAAGCCAAAACTTCTCATTCGTCGGTAAACACTTCGCATGCCAATAGGTCTTCCGTGTTCTGCAAACCATTCATTTGCAATGGACCTGGTAGTGGAGAAACGGTCCCTTAAGGCCAATAATCTTAGGCGGCGATCTTCACGGTCTGTTGTTCTACGGCGGCGTCCAGTGCCCCTTGCTCTTTGCGTACGGCGTTCTCGAAGCCATGCCTGACAACACCTAACCACAGTGTCTACGCTTCTTTGCACTCTAACTGCAATTGCCCGAAAAGAAAGTCCAGCTTCCCGAAGTCCCACTATACGGCCCCTATCAAACTCACTAAGTTGACGAAATCGTACAGGTCTCCGTACTCTAGGCATCGTAACCGATCGTAAAGGATGTCAAGAACCAAAATCCGCCAACGTTGATTCTTTACTGCGGCTGAAATATTCATTTTTAGAGCGTTAGTGAATTAAAAAAAAGCAGTATAAAAACCGGAATGTCCAACTCATAAGGCTGAAAATTTTTTCACTTGTTATTTACAGTAAGATAAATACATTCACCAACTTTTATTAAAATAAAATCATTTAAACTGGGTGTTCGGATTTATATGTCACTTAGTATACATATTAAATTACTACTCATAGATGTAGTAGTAGTCCTAAAGCCAGCAAATCATATAAAATACTTAGGAATCATAATAGACAGGCACCTAAAATGGGGCAAGCAAATAGAAGGCTTAACGAAGAGATTAAGATGTCTTATACCAAAATTTCATATTTTTAGGGAAATTCTTTCCCTATATGCACCATATACAAAGCGATAGTACCTACAACCCTTGTTAACTTATGGAATTTTGGCATGGAGACCGGTGTTGAATAAATACTACAGGAAACTGGAAATAACTCAGAAATGGATTCTTAAAATCATGTTCCACAAAACCATCACCTATCCAACCGATATGATACATAAGGTATCCAAGATATGTGATTGTAGGCAACTCTATTTTGAGAGTGTGTTCACATATATTACAAAATACAAGCGTTTATTAAATTTCCTCTCACATGACCATCACACCAGATCCAAAGATCATTCAGTACGCATACCGAAGTCTAACAAGATCACAGGTCAGAGGAGTTTCACTTTCCTAGGAACAAAAATATATAACTTAATCCCCCCTCAGATAAAAGATATTAAAAATACAAAGACTATGAAAAAGCATCTACTGTGGATTTTGGACCAGCTTAGGCTCAAGATTCTCCAAGCGATTGATGTCAAAAATAACTACTACTACTGAAGTTTCTAAATGAAAAAACAAAATGTATAAATCAAACTGATTTGAATTCTTACCTCCTGAATTATTGCATTTTATTACTTATTTTTACCAATTTTTGTTCTTGTCTATTGGCCTAAAATTGTCTATTGTTTCAATATTGTTTCTATCCCGATTTTGCGTCTCCGTCCCGATTGTGACTTTTAAAAATTTTACGATAATCTAATAAATTTTATATAAATACATTTTTTTAGTCTCAAGTTATTTATACGTGAGCTCATGTCCAAGCACTATTATTATTATTATCGGTTTTACTTTCTCTTATATGATCTTGCGTTACTTTACAATTTTTTAATAGGTTATTCGTCTATGATTTTATCAGTGCTTTGAACTATTTGTAATTATACGCTTCATCCAAGCAGGTAACATGGGGTCCAGGTACCAACTCAAAGGTAAAGAAAAAGTGTTTCTTACCAAATAAATTGCGAGCTAGGTAAAGTTAACTGTTCAGTACTATAGATAGTATACACACCTTGGTGGCTCATCAGATTGGGTCCTCTGCAACGGCTCATGATCCGGAATGGAATCAAACTCCTGGAACTCCCCTTCCCTGGTCATTTGAGCTCCAAACTTATCCCCTACCTCTGAGAACGATTTGACCAACTTACGGCCTCCATTGAATCCGATGTATCCGTTGGTCTGGGCCCCCTGGGAGACCATTTTCACTCTTTGCGCTGTCTTGGGGCTCAGGTTGATATGGCTGTAGGGTAAGGGCTTACGTCCTAGCCCGATTTCGGTCTGTGTTGCTTGGGTTTTCATGGGAGCCGCTCTTTTAACTTTGTCTGGAAGGAAAAAGAAGCATTCATATTAAAAGGAAAAACATCTAAATTTCGATCTTTTGAATGATTTATCCAGGGTGATTCAAAACCAAAGCCAACCTTCACGAAATTCGACTATTCAAAATAGAACGAATTTATGCTTTTTGTACGGATTTTACCTCACATATTGAAACCAATTTTTCAAATCTTCCGAGGACATGGTTCTTGCTTGCTTTTAAAGAAATTCAGTAATGTAGAAGAGTATGCACTAAGCCTTTTCTTAAGTCCTCCATTTATTTTTTAAACAGGTCGAGTTCGTAAGCTGAAATTCGGGATGATGGAATTGATATTTCATGTTGGCACAAAAGTGTAAATTGATATATGACTGGTTAATTTTTTAACTACTTATGACTACTTTATGATGCTAGAATATAAATTTACAGCATTTCAAAACGATGGACTAATGTGCTTTCAAACTTGAATGTTTTTGTACATTCCATTAAGAATTTTTTTTATTTGAATATTTATATTAATTTATATTATTTATTTTATTTCTATTGCTTTAACTGTTAGGTATTGGTTTCGTTTAATATATTATACTTTAATTGGAGATTTTAATTGTTTATCAATACATGGTATTAGATAGTTTAGATATTTAATATTAAAAGGTATAAGAGGTTTAATTTTATTTGTGATTTTTAGAAGTAGAATTTTAGGTTGATTGATATTTTATGAACCTATTTTTATTTGTTTACCTTTTTTTATAAAAGTAATAGCTTTATTAATAATTATAAGAAGTTCTTTAATTGGATCTGAATTGACGAAATTTAAATTTTCTAAAGAGAATTAAATATTAGATATTTAATATTTACGTATAATATGAAATATTCCAATTACTTCTACTTTAGAAGTGAATTTGTATCCTTAATTTTAAGGAAAAGTATTTACAAAGAGTTCTGATCGGAGTTGATTTGAATAGTATGGCGTAAAAAAATAATGATTTCAATTAATTATTCTAGGGAGCAAAATATACCAGTTTATATACCAATGATGTAATTGGAGCCAGATTGACTTATGTATTCAACGGTTATTCTGTTCGAACTTTATAATTATATCCTCAACACCATGTTGAAAAACCATTTTTAAACATACCCAGAAAGTTTTCTGGTTCCGGTTGCTTGGTGATAGGTTGTATTTCAGTCTTTCTCACGTCTAGCAGTCTTTCTTGACTCCTAGTTATTCTATTTAGTTGACCTGTGGAGGAACTTAATGATGACATGGCATCATCGAAGGAAGCCATGGTGTGTGATCTGGCGAAGCTAACGTGTTTCTTTCTGTAAAAAAGACGTAAATGATTATTCCATTTGCACAAAGTGTCAATCAGATGTTAGCGGATGCAAATGTGGCAGGTTACTTAATACTCATACAACTTTAGGCATCTGAGTAACGTAACCAGCATGTTAAAACGTTAATTCATAGTTTTTCTGCGGTCCATTTATTTTTCTACTCGAAAAGAGGTTTCGCGATGCTTGATTATTTTTTCACGTCCATATTCGAAATCAGTATCCCAAAGTAGTGTAGTGCATCTGGCTGGCTTCTAGCCACTGAGAACGCAAATATAGCTTTTAAAGTAAAGCTCCAAAAATTGTTGAATATCTGCAATCTCGACGAACAACCCAGTTGACAAGTTTTGTACCTAAATAGGACCGACACACTTAGATTTTTTCAAGGCCTTAACCCAAATTTAATCAGAGTATGAAGTCTCATTCAACCACGGCTGACAAAAAAAATGCTGCGAAAAACTTTAGCAGATATAATGAATATTTTGAAGAATTGTCGCATATTTGCAATCTCGATTAAAACTTGTCTACTGCGTAAATCGGGTGCGTAGATCCATTTTCGATAGTTTGCCTCCTTCTGTCTCCAAATGACTAGACCTATACCATATTGATGATTGCTTAAAAGCACGAAACGACGTTGTATACGGTTATCGCTGCAGAGATAAAAAACAAACGAATCATGTTCAGCCTGTGTGAACGTCAATGCTGGTAGCATGGTTAGTACTTAGGCCCGTATCGCCAGTCGTCCCTACAATAATTGTAGGGCGCGTTTATGGCCTCCTTGATTGTCATACTCCTTTCTCTCCTTCAAAAATTTCTAGATTACACTTGTCCCGTGTCAGCGAGGGCGCTCTCCTATTGTAAAGATATGTTTTTTTTAAAATTGTAGGAAATTTCAGGCTGATAAAACATGATATAACTCAAAAGCAAGCACAATTTGATGCAAATAGATGTTTGTGACATAACCTCAAAATAGAGCGCTGACACGGAGAAGTAGAAAACGATGACAATCAAGGAGGCCATAAAGGCGCCCCAATTGATCTAGCTTACTTCATCCAATTGTGGAGTAAACTCGTCCATTGTTATGGTGAGGCTCATGTCATTGCTCTCGATATCACGAAAGCGTTCGATCAGCAGTGGCACGCTGCCCTCTTATCCGAGCTTCCATCCTATGACCTCTCAGAGAAGCTTTGCAATTGACGCGTTCTTCTCTTCATCCCATAACGTCAAATCGGATGTTCCTCAGGGATCGGTCTTGGTCCCGACAATGTTCCTTTTACATATCAACGATCTCCTTTCCTGGCAGATCAACCCCGTCCACAGCTTTGCCGATGAGAGCACTCTACATGCAGGAATTCAGAATAATACTGTCTAGAGGAGAGCTGACCGAGTGATCGATAACCCTAGGCAGCTAACAAATCGGATTAACAAAACTTCTTTGGGAACCTCATAGCAGCCGCAGTGTCCTGGCATTTAGGCTTCAGTGTAAAAATAACTTTAGTTTCCTGTTACACTACGTAAGAGTCGGTAATCCTGGTATTAGAGAAACTGGCAGTGTTACCTTTATTCTTTTTAATATACCCACTGTCAGCAATATTTTCCTACCATGAAATGTTTTATCTCAGAATTAGCTTCATCTTTAGAGATGATACTGATGAACGACTTTTCCATCGAGCCAACGTTGAATAATTTTCTCAAAACGAGACACATCGAATACCCCATATCTGTAGATCGCAATAATTCCCTCATCTGGTGAGTGGGAAGCGAAAACAATATCATCACTTCGCGTAGGCGCCCAAACTATGCATAATTGAATCATCTGCATCTTGTTATATTGAATTATTGATTGCAATATCAACGCGAACATTCCATCGAAGCTTTTTAATGTAAAATTCGTAATGGAACTCATGTAATATTTTTTGTTTCCGCTTTGTAATAAACATGCCCTGAAATGAATGAGCTTTTTATAGGGAAAGTGGTGCAATACTGCATCAGAAAACTAATTTCCGTGATGTTATTTTTAGACGGCATACTAATAAATTCGTTATAGCCAAACCATGTACTTTGACGAGGGGATATTGGATTTCCCACTCCCACGGGAGTGCATATACAGAATAATTAGGTAGAGGTGGACGAATAGATGAAACTATAATTAATATTATTTTGTGATTAGCATTTATTAGCGTATTTTCTCAAAATATATTCAGCCATTGCTGGTTTGTTTAATAGAGTTAATGCGAGAACTTAAAGCCGCGCCGATCTTAAGAAGCGTTCTGAGCGTAAGATGGTAAACGGGTAAGCTACCGTACATCTCTTTCTCAAATCGCTATCACCTGATAAATTGATATCCGTCTTATTAACCGTTTCCGTTACTCACCGCCAACCAAATTCTCAATAACATGAACTTTAAGTTATTGTCGGAATGTCCGCTGAAATTCCGTTGGTGATAGTATTGACTGACATCGTAATTAGCGAATTTCACCGTGACCGACTCCGCTAGTTACTCAATGTATTTGACTAGTTGGCTAATTACGTTTCGCTAATCAAATTACGGCCAACCCTGTTACACTATTTACACACACTACATATGTGTATATAACGTATGTCCTGAAAGTTTGAGTGGCTTTAATTTTAGCAAACACAAAATAATATCAAGTTGCCTTTGGAAACAAAATTTTGTTGACTTACTTTACTGTCAGTTGACATTTATTTATATATAGTCAAAATCACGAAAGATGACTATTACGTCATATCATAAATTGTACCGAAGTAATTAATGGATGTACGTCGATGATAAAATCACGATGTCAGAACATAATGACAACAAATTTATATTATGATTTTGCGAAGTTAGGTTAGTTCACTGATTATTTTTATTTTCATTTTATTTCTTGGTTTTGAGTGATACCTTAATAATAATTTTAGTGGGGAGTTTTTGTTTTGATAAAAATAGTTATGAGTAGAATACCTTAAGACAGGAACACCAAAGACCAAAGTATTATTCGAAAACAACCTAACCTGCTTTAACATAACCTAACTATTCATCTTTCAAATATGATCGATCATGCCACATGAAACCATCGCCTATCTTTGTTGGATACATGCAAATCAGCAATACAGTTTGTTTAGACAATAAAATTATGCTTGTCTCTGTCTAACATATCTGAAACTTCTTTAAAAATATTGCTACAAATCGTTGTGTTTGCTACAGACTAAAATGATGACGTAATCGTCATCTTTCGTGATTGCGACAATACGCGCTTGATCGGCTGCTATGTGTCGTGCTAGCGGGGTACCTACAGTACAGTATAGTGACCTTTAGTCTTCATATCATCCTGCTTATATACGTTGCCTGTAATAAAAAAATCGTAACATCCAGTCCACTCACGTCAATGTTCCAGACTGCCCGCTATTGTTCTGTTGGGTGGCCAGGGATGCCTTCAATGGATAAGGGGGATGGTAACTGTTCTCAATGATAGATCTGGGCTTCTCCATCCTGATCGATTCGTCGTCGGAGGGCATCCAGGTGTACCGGCTTGGGTCTGTCGGCTGTTTCCGCCGGAAGTACGATGATGTCAGGTCCTCGTCGTAGCAGTGCATTTCCGTTGTCACCGGGCCCCATGGGTTCCTGAGAAAATAAAGTGTTTTAAGAAGATTTTATTTGTGGTCATGTGTGTATGAAATATCATAGGCCTGCAATTTTTTTCAATGGATACGCACCTGGCAGTATTTCAGACTGTCACAATATCTATTTCGAGAACCGAAAAACCTTGCCAAATGTCCGAACAAAACTTTTTTCTTCGTTTGACTCCAGATTTTGGAATAGGTGTGCATAATCCATCGTTTCATAACACAGGTTCCACTTAGATCCCTCTGCATGCTCAAAGTTTAGACTTTTCTTTACAGAGCGTATAGGTTAGGCAATAATGCGCAAGTTTTCCTAGTAACGCATATACCAAAGCCTTACGATAACTGTGATATTAAGTTCCAAAAAGCTCAAGCTAAATGGGCCAGTCCAAACCTGCCTCCCTCCCTTCTTCTCCTCCCCCTCCTCCTCCTCCGCCTCCTCCTCCGTGAAAAAGTATGATGTTTTATGGTACTATGTGAGTCAGTATCAAAATCAGCCGCCGCGCGGTGTATAGGTTAACCTTGTTTATAGACAAGTCGCATTTAAAAACCCGAAATTGGCACATTGATAGAACGATAATGTAGTTATCTATTAGGTGTTAGTTCACTGTGAACGTCTTCAAGCACCATTTACAAAGGAAGCATGCGTGTCAAATGAATAGTGAGTATTTTACTTTTTACGTTTTCGATGCTGTTTTACCGCAAATTAGATTTGGTATTTCGAACGTAGTTGTTTTGAACTATCAGTACAACCTTTAACGTACGAGGATTGTGTCAAAAATACACACAGAAAAGAGTAGTATTGATTTAAGAGCATGAGTTTCTATGAAATGATTCGAGATCACAAATCAAACGAGATAATCACAATTTTAAAGAAACGTAGGACAATCGAGAAGTTGACCTTAATTCAAATTCTTAGAAACATATCGAAGTCCTCAATTAAAGATAGTTATTCTTGAACCAAGATCACTCTTTTTTGAGCGCGTGATGCTGGGCGAAATCTGGCAACACCGTCGTGTTTGTCGGCTCCCCCACTACCGATCCCAACAAGAACCACCTATTCGCGATACACAGTACCGGCCCGACAGTCATGCGCGATGGAATCCTTCGCCGTCACCGCCAGGTGCGAAATTCGTGTGGTCATCTGAGTAGAGGGGGTACGCTGCCCCCAGCTACCGAAAGCGACTTGCTGCTCTAGAGATGAAGCTACTCCGGATCGCCACCAGTGCACCATCCTACGTAAGAAACTCAACCTTGCGTAGAGACCTGCATTGGGACACCATCCACGAGTACATGAGGAAAAAAGCGGAGAAGACCTTCGAGAAAACTCAGGACCACCCGAACGAGCAGCTACGATTCCTCATGGACTACGATCCGGACGAGAGGCATCGCAACCGCAGAACCAGGTACCCTAGACCAAGGTCCCAGTTGGCACCCGCTAACTGGAACCTTGACTAGGAGACTAGGAGGACCCGCGGTTGCTCCCCCCCCCCACGGCGTGGATGCAGAGGACCAGGAACCACCGGGACCAGGACCCACCGGGACCAGGACCCACCAGGACCAGGACCCGCCACGACCAGGACCCACCAGGACCAGGACCCTTCAGGACCAGGACCAGGAACAACATATTGGTAAGAGGACTTGAAACTCTTGATTTTTCGAAAACAAGAGTTTCAAGAGAACCTAGCAGACCCTCTATCGATGATCGCTTAACGACATCGATAGAATGTGCGAGGTAAAGGGAACCAACCCGGCGTTCCCAGAGACTGAAACACATGAGGAGACGTTGTAGCAGACCGCAGGTCACGCACAACACATGGCCTACCGAGACGCTGATGAGTCGGGCCACGCGGAGGTTTAGGGTTTAGTGGGTATTAGGTGGTCTCCTCAAGACAACCTGGAGTCTCACACACGCCGTAGCTCGGGCTATGGTATGGTGCGTAAACGCATTCCCCCCTCACCAAAAAAAAAAAAAAAACTGAGTAGTATAAGAGTGAATTTCACGTCTTGAAAAAATGCGACTATGGAACAAAATAGCTTAAAGATCAACATTTCCAATGGTGAATTCGTATTATCAAATAAAAAATTCTTTGTGCCTGAAAAAAATGTGGGAACACTAATTTTGAAACAACCCTTGTATATACAGAGAGTCTACGGAGGAAACAACTTTTCGTGCTTCGTTTTACGAGGGGTTTATTTCTAAAAACTACCCTGATCGCGGTGTCTCCTGTCACGGTACGGTTCGTAGTCGATGCACCGTCCAGCAGAGGGCGCCCGCAGGTTCATTTTGTTGCTTTTCCCATTATTTCCAAAAGAAAGATATGTTTACAATGGAGCTTAATTATTGATGAATTGTTGACATCTTAACAACCAATATAGTCTGCTTTCAACTTTCTCAGCTGTTTATGTTTATTTTCAAGTAGATTATATTACTTACAGATTAGATATGAAACTTGTTTCCGATTGGTGGAGTTTGTGCTATAGCCCCAAATTTTGAGTCCGGCCTCAAATGAAAAAAAAAATAGGTATTTGTAGCTGAAGATGATTCATAGAGTATCTCTTGACTTAATATGGGAACTAGGGGCCCATCTTATACAAATCGTATATTTTTTTTCTAGCTTGATATATGTAACGTTATGTGTTTAATTAATTTTGTGCCATAGGCGCAAAGTTTGATTCCTGCGGCTCAACATAAAGATTGGGTGTAAAGGACGCTACTGGAAGTCGGCTCTTCTCCAATCACTTTTAAACGGTACTGAACGATTTAACGAAATATTTACAACGTACCAATCAGTTGGGGTCCCAAATGCTAGTTTCTTGAAAAAAATATCTCATTTAGATCTCTAGGGCTAGTATAGCCTTAACGCAATTCTGCAATTGAGAAAAATGTACTTTTACTTGTTTTATAAATAAAATAAACCGTTTTGGGGAAAATATTTTGTCACGATGAAGAAAAATTCCGGATTAAAATCCACATGTGCCTTTAAAGATTGGGTCATCGTCAAGGTAGATATAACACGGATAAAATTATACTAACAAATCAATTGCACTCCGTTATATAACAAATCATAACAAGCTGTAGATATAAGTACAGGGTTTGTCCGGAAAGGAATAGGACTGAGTCGATTTAAAAAAAATTATTGAGCCAATCGTTACAATTCTTTAAAAACTTTCAAAATAGGCTCCTTCTGCGCTGCCAGTGCGATTTCTAATCATTGAAGGCGTCACGGAAGGCATTCTCCGGAATAGCCTTGAGAGCCGCGCTGCATGCTGCTTGGATCTCCTCTGTCGTCTCAAGAGCTTGCCTTTCATCGGCCTTTTCAGGCAAGTAAACAAAAAAAACTCCGGGGGGGGGGGGGCACATCTGGGCTGTAGGACGGCTGCGGAAGCGTTGGGATGCCGGCCTTGGTCAGGTAGCTGCAACTTCCACTGACCCTTCGTTTGAGTCTCCTGAGCACTTCCACGTAAAACTTGGCGTTGACGCCGGTTTGTCCAGGAGGAACAAATTCATAGTGGACGATGCCTTTGATGTCAAAAAAGACAAAATGAGCATCGTTTTCACTTTGGATTTGCTCATTCCTCCCTTTTTTGGGCGAGGAGACGCCGTCGGGTGCCACTCGGAAGATTGCCTCTTTGTCTCGGGATCATACTCAAAGATCCAAGACTCGTCACCACGTTTCGTTTACGCTTACAATGTTGTACAGAAGGTTTTTATCTTTTTTGACCTCTTTAATGATGTCTCTCGAATATTGAATTCGAAGCAATTTTTGATCATCCGTGAGCTTGTGTCCAAATTCTTGGTCAAAATGCGATGGATTGAGTCTTTAAGGATATTTAATTCCATTTCTGTGTATCTCAATGAAGATTTTGGATCATTTTTGGTAAATTCGCGCACTTCTTTGACGGTTTCTGGCGTAATGACAAATTTTGGCTGACCAACATGTGCATGACCCACTTTGAACCGTATAAACCACTCTTGGACTCGGCTGCGAGATATACAATCATCATCATACACTTGCATCAACATCTGATGCGTTTAGGTAAATGTTTTTACCAAGTTTCACACGGAACTTAATATTGGCTCTTTATTCGATGCTGATTTCTCGACCGAAGCGAAAAAGGTACTCTCGCTTTGAGCGCAATAACTTCGCGTGAAGTGGTTCGATTGCCATTAAATTTTGACAGGGCATTAGTGAAAGATGTACCTATCCAACGCCAGTATAATGGATGGCTGTACTTGTATCGGATATCTTTCAAAAGTCCTGTACACTTTGCGTCAGACCTTTTATATGTATAAGATATATAAAGCAAAACTTGTCGTTTGACTTGCATCGAAACAATGCTGCTTATTTTTAATAATATTTAATTATATATAAGTATGCATATGATGCATCACTTAAAGGCAGCAAGATGCAAAATAACAAAAAAGGATTTAAAAAATGCAACAATCTTAAACAGATATTAGATATTTGATGGACATACTGAAATGTCTAGTATGATAAGAAAAACATGGCGAAAATTCCACAACTGGCCGTATTGATGCTCGTTTATCTTTGAAACAATAAATTTACTTTATCAATATTACTATTCAGAAGATTCACGAACACCCTTGGACTGTTAGGAACTTGATCTGTCAGGCCACTTTCTGCTCTAATTATAATAAATACTATATTATACAGGGTGTTTCAGTTTATTGTTGCATAACTTTAAGATTCGATAGAACTTTTAAAATTATTGCATAAAGTCTATATAAACATGGATCGAAAAATGCGTGGCTTCCGAAATACAGGGTGTTTAAATTTACTTTCTAAAATAGTTTTTCTTAAATATTTATTATATATTATAATAGTTTTACTGTAGCCGCTAGAGGGCGCTCTCTACTGTACCTGTAGTGTATTGAAATGACAAAAAAATTTTACTTAGTAAAATTTTTTGCTTTTTGAATAAAAAAACTGATTCTTCGCACTTTTCAACATAAAAAAGCTCTCCTGTGAGTTTTCGTTATAGGTAGCCGTTTTTGAGATAAATCGATTTTTAAGGTTCGATGCATTTTTAATTATTTATGATAAAATATCGTTAAAAAGTCAGTATCTCGATAATTTTTAGAAGTAGGCTGTGCCTGCAAATATTTTTGAAATTGAAAACAGAATAAGGTTAAACCTCAATTAGTTGACAGTTAGTTTTGTTGTCTGTTGAAACCTGAAACGTTTTTTTGCAATTGTGAATGCACGAAATTTAGGTTCTTTTACCTGTTTTTTTTTTGTAAGTTTTATAAAAATGCCATTTTATTCTCCAATCAAGAGTTAGCGGATATTCATTTTGTGTATGGCTTTGTAAATGGAAACGCAGCAGAAGCAGCCAGAGAATACGCACGAAGATTTCCAAACAGACGACATCCAACTCGCTCAGTATTTGTAAGAGTGCATCGCCAAATAATTGAAAATGGTTTTGGAAATCTCCACAGGGATCAAAACATGAATGTTCGTCAGCGTAGATTTACCCGTATAATTCTGCGTGAGTTTGATAGAGATCCGACCACAAGTGTTAGGAGAGATTCTGGTGCCTAGGGAATTTCAGCAAGCCATGTTCACCGTGTTCTTAGAAATGACCATAGACGTCCTTACCATTTGCAACCTGTGCAAGGACTACAGCCAGGGGACGGAGAACGAAGAATCACATTTTGTCAGTGGATTCTTGATAGAACTGATAATAATAGGGAGTTTTTAAGTAACGTTTTATGGACCGATGAGTCATGCTTCACTAGACGTGGAGTGATACATTTTCATAATCAACATATTTGGTCGCATGAAAATCCGCATGCAGTTCGGGAAAAGAAATTTTCAGCATGAATTTAGTGTGAACATGTGGATTGGTATCTACCGTAATTGACTATTTGGACCCTACCTTTTGCCTGTAAGGTTAAGTGCTGCGACCTTCTTGGATTTTTTAAAGGCTGAACATGCAAATGTGTGGGATGATGTTATGTTAGATTTAAGAAGATTGGCCTGGTTCCAGCTTGATGGTTGTCCAGCTCATTATTCGCCTGGCCTCCACGATCCCCTGACCTAAATCCATTAGATTTCTTTGTGTGGGGATTTCTAAAAGAAAATGTGTACCAGACTCCCGTAACCACAAGAGATATGCTAATAGACAGAATCAGGAAGGCATGTGATGAAATAAGGCCTTATTTGAATAATGCTATACTATAGATGTGAATTGTGTATTGAACAATTGGGTTTACATTTCGAGCAACTACTTTAGATTTTGTATGTTTGTCCTAACTATCCAATAGCATTTTAGTTGTAAATAATTACTTTAATTTGTTAAAAATAATATTGGAAAATTAAACAAATTAATATTCTGTTTTTGTGTTTATTTGGAGGAATTATTGCTGTGTTTAAAAACATAATCTAAACGATCATCTTAATTACTTGTAATACCCAAATCGAAAATGTAAAAAAATATCATTTTTCCATAAATAATTAAAAATGCATCGAACCTTAAAAATCGAAATATCTCAAAAACGGCTAACTATAATGAAAACTCACAGGAGAGCTTTTTATGCAGAAAAGTGCGAAGAATCAAAAGCAAAAAATTGCACTAAGAAAAAATTTTCGGTCATTTTAATACACTACAGGTACAGTAGAGAGCGCCCTCTAGCGGCTACAGTAAAACTATGCCCATGGTTCGTTTTGTCGTACCAAAAAACGCTTGTATACCAATTTTCACTGTTATACATCAAATATTGTTCGAAATATTTAAAAAAAAACTATTTTAGAAAGTATTTCGGAAGCCACGCATTTTTCGACCCATGTTTATGTAGACTTTATGCATTAATTTTAAAAGTTCTATCGAATCTTAAAGTTATGCAACAATAAACTGAAACACCCTGTATAAGTCTGTTGTTTTCCTATATCATGAACCAGAATGAGGCTGTAACCACAAAAAAATAAGGGATGCTTTCATGCCTTCATGCTATTACAGCTCAAAAACGTATAAAGTATAATTAGATCATAACATTTGGGTCAACACAGGGTCATAAAGGATTATAACGTATAATGATGTAGAAATAACTATATTATAAATTATATCATTGCAGCATACGCTTAAGCACTGCTAGCTGATTGCAGAACAGTCGGGTACAAAGGATAGTCATCCATTAATTCAGACTTTGATTAATGCTATTTCGAGATTCAGTGGTCTTCCTTTTGTACATTTACGGAGGAGTAGAAAATCAAAACGTACGCTAGTATGCACAAACATGTGCTGCGGTGCTGTTATTTATGTTACTTAACTCCATTGCAAGTATCATACCCAAGTTTTGCTCGTGCTGAGCAATTACTACTAATGCAAAACAAATTAACGAACATTAACATGGTTGATCAAGGAAATAGAAGCAAAAGTTTGCGGTAGTATGTATATGTGATGTGTCTATCATCGAACAAGTTAAAGTAGTAGTTTGAATGCAGTGTTGGCAAAAAAATAGAGAAGGCAAATAGAAGGATATTCATATGATCTCTAAAGATATTTTAAACTCAATTTTCTGTTATTCCTAAGAGCTAGCTAAACAGAGAAAACCGCAGTTTCACCTCCTACGCTATTGGCAAGGGGAATTTGTAATTGCGAAAAATTTCGAAAATGAGATATTTCGTCTTATTAACGTGTACATCACCGAAAACCACGTCACTCATTTTCGTCGATCTATCGGTATGTCTGTGTTTCTGCTGATCCTGGTCCCCGCTATAACTTGGAAAGTACTGCTCCGATTTTGATGAAAACTCGACATAAGGTTACTACTGTCTCAAAAACAAGAAAGCTTTGCAGTTCCTTAAAAAAACTTCATTTTTTGACATTTCAGGGACTGTTTATTTTTGGAACTTTTTTTAGGATCAAAAAATTGGGGACAGGGGAGTTAATGGGGATAGGGATGGTGAATCTGTTAGCGGTATATGCTCCTAACGTGATGACTCTTCCCTAGCGACCATCCGACAACGCTACAGTCACAATTGCGATGAGTAAGCCTCAACAGCACCAGAGGCCAGATTGCAGCATGTTTACTTCTATTTTCTTTGCACTCGATGCGGGATTTGAAAATATTTCGATCATTTTGAATGGATCTTGGAGAGGATAGTTTTTAAAACCTCGTGTCAACATTTTGTCAAAATCCGAGCGCTACTTTCCGAGTTATTTACAGGATAAGCACACAAACCGACATACGTAATGTAATAATAATTGAAATATTTTGCGATTACAATAATTTGTTGCCAATTGGCGTATGAAGTGATAATTTTGATGCGCATGCTGTATTATGTATTTTACGAGCACATGAAAAAACCTCAAAAATGAATAGACAAACACACATATTATGCTTTATGTTGCAGGGTATACATGTATATATTCTATTTTAATACAGTTTTTTTATCTGTTGACCAGAGGTATTATTTAAGATTATAGGTACACATATCTAAATTTTACTAAAAATGGCATTTGTTATCAAATATCTTAGCACCTAAATCCACAAAGAGGGGAATAATCCTAGAAAAACTCTAACAAGTCTAATATCGAATCATAACTACGTGTTTTTCTATGTGGAGGGAATAAAGCAGCGCGTAAAGGCTAGTTTTTCCAAAGTAGAAAAGTTATAAGCTAGATACTTATAATCATGATCATTCTTAAGCACGAGGTACAGTACATAAGGATAGACTAAAGGGCAACATTAGATAATAAATTAGAACTGTATACAGTACTTACAATTCAAACAAAGTACAAACCTTAGAAATTCGGTACAGCAGTCTGTGATACTGCGGGAAAATCAGAATTGTATAGTTTTTCTATACGACACTATTTTTGAATTCGATATTTAACAAAATATGGCGATAGTAAGATATTAACGACAATGTAGAGTATCAGGATGCAGAATAAGAGGAGTCAACAGGAAATGTGATGAAGCAATAGTATCAGTTTGAAGCTTGAAAAGGGAATAGGATGTTAGATAGCAATGTACCCTGTACTTGGAAAATATAGTTCAAAGTTATCGTAATTCGTACATGGTTTGATTGGTGAAAGTGACTGCTAAAATGTTCCAAAGAGAAATGAAATTCTCTTATATCGAATCTTATATACAGAACCGATGATTTAGCCCAAACTCAAATGATAAAATATCAAGGGGTGCCTCGATGAAAAGCATTCAAGTTCTCAAAATTGCTGCTTATTTTTTACGAGGCGTATTATCTGATGAGTGTCTTCTATTACAAGCTCTGAAAAAATATTTTAATTTGGATTGAAGAAGTTCTTGGTCAATTATCGCCTGTATTTTGAATAAAGGTGAATGTGCATTTTGTAAATTAGGTAGCACATACATCATTTTTACAACTAATTTCTTCTAAAAAATGCAAAATAAACTTGAAATAAATGACGATTTTCTATAATTTAGATGGCAATTTCAAGCTATTTTGTTATAAACTATACAAAAGCTGAATATAAAAACTTCTAACGAGGATGTAATGTAAGTCGTCTCGTGGTGCTATTTGAACAATGGCAGGTAGCATGTAACTAGTAGTGATGGAATGATGTGCTCTTTTGACTTTCATGAATGTAACATACTGTGCACTAGAAACTATTTTTAATACTCTTTATAGGAACTAAATGTCGAATATACATATTTTTTCATAAGAACTAACCTGTTTCTTCTGGGATAAGGAGCGTACTCCGAAGGATGCTTTTTGTAAAGGTCGTAAAGGTTCTCGTCAGATGGCACTTTCTGTCGAACGCATGCGGTGAGTAAAGATGATCTTGCTGAACATGGTGATCCATGGTGTGAAGACAGGCAGCCAAACAGGCTTTGTTTGTTGTTTTCTAAGGCCCCCAAGCCCCTAAGGACATAAATATATTTATTTTATTGTTTTCTAAAAATAATTGAATGAACTAGTAAATAGAATAGTGTTTGCTAGAAACTTCATAGACAGAACGTGAAACTTGTCACCAGGATTCGAACCTACGACCTCTGGTAGTCTCATTGAATCCGCCCAGATATGGTGACTCATGACAAGCTATATTGTAATAAACGCATCAGGCAAAGGACCGTTTTTCGTATTGCAAGTCTTTTTCCAGCCTTTCTAAATCATGAACATGAATTTTAGCAGAAAGCTACTGACAGTGACCGACGCCATAAGTATTTGTAGTTGAGTGACGTAGTTGCTACCACTTGAGGGCAAAAGCGGAAATCTGGTGCAATCAGGGGTGATCATGTTACTCTATCGGATTACACATCATCCTTAAGACAGTCTGAAAATCGATAAGTTAATAGGATTTTTTCATTTATATTAGATTTATCCACAAGAATATATTTTCGATAACTTAGTAGGATTGGCAGCATGACATTGAGCGCCCAACTAACTATTATGCAGTATTCCTTACACAGCATTGTATACTGTAAGAACATTGGTAAAACCCTCTTAGAACAGCTATACAAGCGGAATGGGCACACCTAATAGGACACTTCAGTCATTTAAGAGGTTGCATAAGGGTACAGGTAACAGTTATACAACAAAAGTGAAAGACTCTTGCAGCCGCTATAGGACATTTGCGTCAGTGCAATATTCAGTTTTTGTCAACTATACAACTATTCTGTTACGTGATTCTACTTTATTGCAACCAAACTATTTCTTATGTATTGTATAGACGAAGTGAAGAATATATAACTAACAGATTACAGTCATCTTGTTTACTTACATATCTTACATATTGTGAATTTCATACGCAGGTATATGATAAACTTCTACACTGTGATATAGGGCTATTGAATTACTTGCGCAGCAAATTTTATTGTGATTATCGTGCAAAGTAGTTACGCAATTTCTACGGGCTTCGTATTTGATTCATATTTTAATAATGATCAAAAGTATGTCTAGATTTTTAAGATGGAAAACTGAACTTATCTGCGTTAAATCTTCCACAAATCCTAGAATTAGACACAATTACACTAATGTTTATCACTTTATATCTTTAATTTAGAACAGAAACATAATTATTTAATATTAAATAGAGGAATAAATGATTGCCCAATATGGCGGGTGGTTGTGTATAATCATGGCATCGTCCATGTTGTCTTTAGTTTATTAGAATATTTTGGTGTTGCCTGCAGATGTTATACAACAATTTGACAAATGTCTGAAATAAAATACCGACAGGGTCGAATGATTTACCCAGAATTTGTACCAGGTCTATATCTCCTGTTTGAACAGTTGAACCAATATGCATGCGTTGTTTGTCTTAAAACATTGGTTATGGCATTTTAACCAAAAATATGACAGCAGAAAGTTAGGTTATGGTGAAGTATGCCGAGCAAACAATTGTGTATTACAAAAGTTGTAATATTGTTGCATATATACAGCCTTTATCAGTTACTAAACAACAGTTGTATAAGTGCTTCCGTTGGGAGCAATTTGTTGGCTAAAGTAGTAAATTTGCACAGCAATACAACAAGGCTCGGGTTTGTTTTATAAAGGTTACCATGGATGCCACAACACAACCATTTTGACTGACGTGCAAATATACCGTATAAAATAGATGTATAAACGTTTATGCAACAGTTAAAAGTTTGTCCTATAAGGTGTTGTATAACTATGCTATAAGAATATTCTAAACACCACATTTTAGAGCAAATATGTTGCAGAAAACACATTTGCATTCCACACAACATTAAGCCAGCGTTTTGGTGTTCAGACAACAACAATAGAGAGCTTTTATGGCTGAACGGTTCTTCTACCAAAAGCTTATAGCACTACTTTGCTAGTTGGGCGTTTCTAGAAAAACTTTGAATGTCATATTTTTTTACTTTTTTGCATTTGCACATTTCTTTTCAGCTTAGTACTTTGGAGATATCGAAATCTCCAGTTCATACTACGTTCTCTATCTGAATTCTTGCGATATTAGTCATTAATCATTTTCCTTTACTCCGGTAGTCAATTGCTGATGGATATGTTACGGGTAAAGACGAGGGTCTTCTATTTCTGCCTATCCTTAATGGATATTGGCGACCGCAATGACCCATATTATTTCGCTAACAACTGTTTTAAGTAGGTCGGTCATTGTTATACCCGCTCATTGTCTCAGGTTGTCAAGCCAGAATCCACGGCGGCGATGGTCACGATAATAGGGCTACATAATGATGTGAATGCCCATTTGTATTGGACAGTGCCGTCAATGCCTGGACATTGAAATTAATGCTCATTGATGGCAAATTAGTAATTTTTATAGTCTTTATCCGGTTATTGACGAGAATCACTGAGAAGGCCTAGGCGATATCAAATACATTATATGATATTGAGAAAACGGAGGAAAAATATTACCGATATAATAATAATAAAAATAATAATTAACGTCTTTTATTTGTAATATTCTTACAGGAGGCGAGATTTAGATAATATATCTATTCTACCATCTAACCTGTATACAATAACGACAGAATAAAGTATAATCTAAGCAAAGACATAAGGAAAATTTGAGGCCACTTATGGGTTACAAATGATTTCACTGCTGATAAAGTAGAACTTCTTTCACTTTTTTCTTGAATTTGGGTAATGGATTGGTTTCTTTTAAACTGCGGTCTAAAGAATTATATGATTTAATCGCATTGTAAATATATGTATTCTGAAATTGAGATGTGTTGTGGCGTAGAATTGAAAAATCTATATCTAATATTAATGTCATGCATATTCCCTCTACGTATGATTTTTTTTGCTAAATATAACGGTATTTTTTAATAAAGAACCTTATGAGTCAAATTTAGGAGCTGGTGCTTATACATTTTATCAATTTTCATCCATTTGAATTCATTTATGGCATTCGATATATGATCATACTTTCTGAGACCATTTACAAGCCTGCAACATGTATTCATAATACTTTGAATCTGATTTCTTGTTATAATATCTAAATAGGGATAGTAAACCACTAAGCAATACGATATCTTTGAAAGCAAGAAGATTCACACAATTGCTTTCTCGCAGATTTATGTAATATACCTGTAGCCTTATTTGCAAATAAGACTCTGAGAATAGCGTAGCACTGAGAAATTAGATAGTTTATGTGTACAACAAATTTTAAGTCATCATCCATTATAATACCTAGGTTCTTCGAATGATCCACAGAAACTAATTTATTACCTTTTAAATGTATGTCTATGTCCTTTTTTAAAGTATTATTTTTTGTTCTATTTGCATATACCAACATATGTGTCTTCAAAGGGTTCAAACGAAGATTATGACTACTACTAAACTTTTCAATTTGGGCAAGACATTGATTAATTTTATCATTTGCTGTTTTCAAGTCATTACTCCTAAATGAATAGAAAATTTGAGTGTCGTCTGTAAAAAATTGTATGCTGCATGATTTTATCTCTGTTTCTAAATCTGAGATATATAATGAAAATAATAGGGGTCTTGAGACTGATCCCTGTGGTACACCAGAACAAATTTTTTGTTCGGTAGACGAACTTTTTGATACCGATTTTCCAGGTAGGTTTGAATAAACGGAAGAGGTTCTTCAGAAAATCCATAATAACTGCATTTAGACACAAGAAGAGAGTGATTAATGGTGCCAAATGCTTTAGTAAAGTCAAGAAGGATGAGAACTACTGCTTTTTGGTTATCAAGTGCCACTGTTATATTGTCTGTTAAATCACAGAGTGCCGAAATCTAGATTGTTTAGATGGAATAATGTTGTTAGAATATAAGTAGGCGCAGAGCTGCTCGTAAACAATGCGTTCCAGTACTTTAGAAAAAATTGGCAGTAGACTGATCGGTCTCAGTTGACCATAGTAGGATTAGAACACTTAGATAGCGGAACAACTATAGCGCGTTGCCACTGATTGGGGAAATATCCCTTCTCTAAACAGCATTTGATAATATGTGTTAAGTACATATCAATTTCAGGTAAACATAGTAATGTCATGTGCAAAGTTATTCCATCTGAACCATTAGAATTTGATTTTATGTTATGAATAATTTTAATAACGGTGTCTATAGTCACTTTATTAAATTGAAATTTCGATTTTGAGTTATTGAGCTCGGTAATATGCAATTTTATCAGAACAACCCAAATCACTATTCTCGAAAATTGAAATGAATGTCTCATTTATTTTATACGGATCTGATAATGTTAATGCCCTGTCATTATGAACAATGCCCGACTTCGTTGAGCATTATCGTCATTGGGAGTCTACTGTACATTCTGGGTAACGATGTGAAGCCTCGTTTGTGTTGTTTTTTATTGATATCTTCCAAACTATATGGATATATGAAGAATACCAGTCTTTATCTGAATTCTTGAGATATAAGTCATTAATCATTTTGCTTTACTCCGGTAGTCAACTTGTGATGAATATGTTACAGGTAAACACGAGGGTCTTCTAGTTGTGTGTAACCTTAATGGATATTGGGGACTTGATCACGATAATAGGGCTAGATAATGATGTGAATGTCCATTTGTCTTGCACAGTACCGTCAATGCCTGGACATTGAAGTTAATGCCCGTTGATGGCAGGCAATGTTACTAAGTCTCATTTTTATAGTCTTTATCCAGTCATTGACGACAATCACTGAGAAGGGCTGGGCGATATCGAATACATAATATAATATTGAGAAAACGGAGGAAAACTATTACCGATATGTCACGAAAAGATCTTAAAAAAAAGTTTTAAAAACCGATATTCCTTCCCATCGCGTGTAGGTTCTATATAGACGCAAGTGTTTTCCGTTAATTATAGGACTCCCACTCCAAACTATATGGACAATAATGTTAATGCCCTATCATTATGGACTTTGCCCGATTTCGTTGAGCATTATCGTCATTTTGAATCTAATGTACATTC